TTCTTCGCGATGTAAAGAAAGGAGAAGCAACGCGAGACATTGTGTTTCAGGGAACACTCTTCGTAAATGCACTCGTTTGCTACATTAGAGTTAAGCTATGTCCAGTCTGGCTTTTGAATTGTTTGGTCTCAGCAACGGAAGCATGAATAGTGATTGTCCGGGTCAGTATTGGAAAAGATGTAGTTACTCGAGAGTGTACAATAAGCACCCTTGGTACAAGAGGATCTCAAGTGTACTCGTTGGGTCGAGGTGAGCCTTGAATTAGCCATGTTCGTGAAACATTGAAGCGGCACATGAAATGCTTGGTATAGAGTCATCGGACCTTCGCGTACTGCCATTTGATCCCTCGCGCAGAAACACGCTGCTAAGTGGCTCGTCCGATAAAAGCTCGAGTGCCGAGGGGAAAGCTGCCCAAAGAGGCATAAGTTCTGCAAAACAGCGCCCGAACGCTAAAATATTAAGCATGAAATATCGCAGCGCGAGATCGAGAAATGATCCGGGGTCTGGAGTACGTAGACGTAGAAAGGTGTACAGCGGCAGCATGTCGCTGGTGGCGGCTGGGCGGCAGGATATAGGCGCTCGGCCGCGCATAGGGGCCTTATCTTGCTGATCTCGTTCCGTTCCAGCTCGTAGCGGTGTGTGTCTGCGCGGCGAGAGAAAGAGAAAGCACGCGCCCCGGTGCACAGCGCCGTGTACTGTCAGCTGCTCGCGCGCGTTTCTTAGGCGCACACTCGAGGGGATCCCGCAGCACATGCGCGAGCTGCGCGCACACCGACACACGGAGGATAAAAAAGCGCGCGCGCGCAAACAAAAAGCCAGGGAAACGAGATCTGCTCGCTCGCCGGCTCGCTCGGTCGCGGGTAACGCGATCCGCGCCGGCGCTCCTACACCTTGGCCGTGTCCCTTTCTTTCGAGCGTGTTTACGCGGATAATAAAACTCGACGCGCGAGAGACCCAGCGGCCTCTCAATAATGTCGGCAGTGCGCTAGTACTGAAACGCCGCGACGCCACGACGCCGCGCGTACCTCCAGCGAGGCAATCGCGACCGTTGCAGCCAGCTCTCGCGACGAATGAGAAAGTCGCTCCGCGCGAATAATCGCGCGCGCTCGCAAACTATGTCAGCGCCGAATTATCGCGGCTCCGCTCAATTGCCGACGATAGTTCGCAGACATAAATTTCCACTCTTTCTGGCTCACGCTCGCACGTACGAGGCCATTGCGCTCGTTCCGCTCGAACCTTATCAATGGGCGCACGAGCCCGTCGACAGTTTGTATATTAATAAAAAACCAACCAAGGCGCGACTGACTTTTCGCTGAACCAAACGAGCGCCCCCGAGGCCTCAACATCTGTTCTTCTTTTATCCGACTTTCAACGACACTCCTTTCTTTTATTCCCAACTGTGACGGATTCATTCTCCGGAACTTCAGCTTTTAATTAACGCCGCTCGTGCGAGTCGTGCGAGCGAGAGCACGGCAAAGTCGTCGCTCTTGGTTCTCGATGCTTCTCGATCGCAGTATCGCGAAGCTCGCGACTACGGCCGGCAATTCTTACAGATGTATTTCAGGATGCAAAAGACGACATAATTCGCGGCGAAACGTGTCGGTACCGATTGCACGAATGCGAACCCCCGAGTAAGCGCTCGCGCTCTGTCGTAAACATCGCGGCTTTATCTGAGCGAGTTTTATTGGCCGCTCGCGCGTGAACAAGATCTCAAGAGAGCTCGCGGCATTCGGCATTTTAAGCGCGTCCATGCGCGCCAACTATCTTTTCGAAAAAAAAAAACTCGCCCTCCGCGCCGCTCACCACTATCTCCTCGGCTTCTTTTTGTCTCTCGCTCTCTTCCCTTTCCGCGCGCCCACCGTCGTGCGCCTGCCAACTGCTTTTTACACGCACTTTTGTCTCATACTCGGGCGTTACGTTTGTTTATTTGCTTCTTACTTGCCATTCTCCGCGTATACTCGGTTATTTATTTCATACAACTCGAGAAAACCAATTATACGCGGGGATCAGTGCCCCTGATCGTAGCGGCTCATCTTTTTCTATACGTTCTGTTGGAAACACAATCAGATGTGTTCGGGCTCAAATAACACTCGTTCAATGGAATCTTCAAATTGTTATGCCATCTTTTTATTTTTCAATGAAACGTATTTGCTTAATAGCCGTGGTAATAAATTCGGTGAACGAGCGCAAATGCATTGTTATTCAAAGCGCGGATTTCACGTCGATTCTCCTGAAATCGATATTTATTTGCTATTGTATCTTGTCGAGATTGCCTTTTTGCTTATCTCGCGCGTATCCTTTTTTTCGTTATCCGAGTTGTGAGACTGTATGCACAATCTATCGCCTGAACGGGGACTGCCGCAACAGCGTGTAAGTGGCTCCGGCGGATAAAAGTTTTTTACGAGACCGCATGCATAAGAGGAACAGCGACAGTGCGGACGAAAAAAAGAGAAATATAAGCTGGCTGGCTCGACTGTGTTGACCGTGCTGCGTGATTTGCATATTGAAAAAAAAATCACCAACCGATCGGAGACAGAGAAGTAGACGGTAACGGAGAGAACGAATGGTCTCGACAAGAGGCCTCTCAATCACCGGATGTTTCAACGCTTCGTTTTCGCATTGTTTTCTTGCATCAACATTGAACTTATACGCGCGGTCTTCCATTTCAAAGAATCACGTCTTACACAGTACGTATATTAATTAAGTTACCCCTTTCAACAATTCAATCTATATATGATATACTTATTGTTAAATGTTATTTATAATATTCCACAACTTCGCTTTTAAGTACATTATAATTTATAAATGCATATTTTACTATTCAGATATCAGCTTATTCGATTAATTAGCATGATCTAAAAAACTACTCGCAGTCATAGAACGTTGAACAAAAATAAAATGTTGCGGCAATCTTATACTGTCTTCTATCGTTGCGTCTTGACATATTTTAATTATTTTTCTGGACTGTTACCTTGCAATTAAACTCTTGGTGTGTGTGTGAGTGTGTGTGTGTGTGTATGTGTGTATATATCTCTCAAGAATTTGCCATATCGATTGACAAACTGAAAGCAGTTATTAAAATAACAAATGTAATATTAGAAAAACCAATGTTAGAATATTCTATTCGTAACAATGTGCGTAATAGTACATTTTACGTGTGTATACGTGCGCAATCAAATTAAATAAATATTTTTATTATTTTAAGTTTTTAATTTATACTATTTTAGACATAAAAACTTCCGTAATCAGTGATAATCTGCCATTAGATAGAATGATAATCGCCTATAGCATTAAGTCAGTGATGCTCAGTTTTTCAATTAAACCTTTTTCTACAGTGACTCAACTGATTAACTGTATTGAAAATTATGCTTGACTGTAAAATCCACATTTTCTTGATTTGAAACTTCCTTACATGCGTTGGAAATTATCGAAATTGTTATTGAATTTAATCTTTCATAGATCTTTTTAGAAAATTCTTCGTCCTATATCCTAATATTTTAGTATTCATGTCATTATTATCAGTTAAAATATTACAAATTTGAACGTTTTCTTCCAAAAATTTTAATGTGAAATTTGTTGTATGAAGTGCGGCTGTCTTGTGAACATATTGGTTGTTTCAATAATGCACTATAACAAAAACTCACATTTTTAGGTTGACGATTTGCACGTAGCTTTGGGGAATCTTTTGAAATATAAAAACACGTACTTACTATAATACTATTACTACAGTTATTTTCGTTAAATTACAGTTACTTTCGTTAAATTTGTGAAAATATATGAATTTCTCGTATTCGAAATAGCTTATCACGTAAACTATAATAAAAGTTTATATAGTTTTACAACACAAAAGCTGAATTCAAATCCCCTCTACGTAAAAAAAATTTTGCTCTTCTACACTAATTATTAATTATAGTTTGTTTCAAAGATTTACCAAATGTCTTCTCATCACAATTGAATTAAGTATTTTTGTTACGTTTTCCAAGCCTATTTGCAAGTGACTGATAAAATTGTTGAATCTGAGAACAACCTGAAGGTACTGTTTTATAATACGAAAAGGTATAATTATGTGATTATCAAAGTGCTATAACACTAAACGCAGTTCTCTGAAAAAATATAGCTCTTCTATATAATACGGGCTCTTATTCAAAAGAACCTTATAGACACATAATCCGGTTTCTCGCAATCAATATAATCGTATCATGTCGTCAAAAATATTGAATGATTCCGTAAGTTTTAGTTCAACGAATAATGCCTTTTTTCGACGCTAGAATAAAATCATATTTATTGAAATTCGTGACCTTTCAATCGTCTTTATTCGCAAGTAATCTGCACAAATTAAATAAATATACTTTTCCTTATTTTGAATTTAGAGGTTTCAGGCTTTGAAACAATATATTCCCGAAATAGGTTGTTAATGAGAAAAAGAAATAAGTATTTGTTTATCTTCTTGATAAGCCAAATCAATTAAACGCCCCTGACGCATTTGTATTCTACAACATTTTTGTTGATGATACAAGTGCTCTCGTTAATGATTAGTTTAATTTATTTCCGTGAGCACTTGAATGGCGCTAATTTTTCATATCAGTAATTGAGAATTAGAATTTCAGAATTATGCACGTAGTCCAAGTAATAATGAACATAATACGAAAGTTAATTCCAAGTCAACAGACGGGTGACATTGCAAGTGCGGAAAATTTGATCTGCAGGGCTCTAATCTATAAAACTTTCAAATGAACGGTCGAATGCTATCGTCAATATTTAAAAAAGCTGTGAGATATAAAGTAATAAATTACATTTTTGAGTGTTCAATACGAAGACAGCAATCAATTAGCTTATCAAAAGAAGAAAGCTTTTGTCATTCGACTACCGCGCCAACGTTAGGAATATTATAGTAATTCAATAGTTCCGGTATTGTATAATACGGTAGGTTGATGATAAAAATTAACACATTCGAGTTATATTTTTATAAATATTGATATATTCTTCCAAATGTAGTACAATTCAATAAATAATTTTTTACTCGTATATTACTTGTATATATATATATATATATATACAAAAGCAAATGACGGGGTGTACAAGAAAATGATTTTTTGTCGAATTAATGAAAATGAATTGTCTTCGATACAATGTATTACAAAGTATGTGTCTTGACTACAATCTATACATTTGCTGCAAATATTTAGTGGCGATAACATTTCAGTACGGCAACTTACTATCGTGGAAATGTCTTGGCAGTGTTGTCGAAAGAACGCGGGCGTTTATGCGGCGCCTACCATTGTTTCACGTTTGCCGTCGCATCAAGAAATCGTCGCTCGTTGGGAGTTTGATTCGTCAGGATCAGAAAAATGCCAATGGGTCAACGCGATAGATGCTTTTTTTTAAATGATACACTCTTTCTCTCTCTCTCTCTCTCTCTCTCTCGCACACACGAATTTCGATCAATTCGTACTCATTCGTACGCACTTTCGCATTTAAAATTACACTAACAACAACAAAAACATGAAACGAAGCCGTGAGTCGATGAATTGGTCGAGCGCCTTCATTTCTTAAACGAATATAATTTCACAAGCTGAGCTGAAAACGATCTACACAACAACAACAAAAAGGAGTTCCACTGCAACATAACACACGCGAAACCTTGGAGCGTTTTTTCTCATTATCCGTTTGCTTTATGGCACTAAAATGGAATTAAACGTAAGTTTGCATAGCAATCGCAGGCGTGCGCGGCTCCGAAAGGCGCGCACAGAGCATCACAGAACGAAAGTTCCCCGTAAAGAAAACTACAAGGTCTCGAGGGCCGAGCTGTTGGTGAGCAGCTCCCGCGTCAGTCTCCAGACCTGCTTGGCCGCGTTTTCCAGGCCACTGTGCGACTTGCCCTTGAACAAGTCCAAATTGGGCAGGAAGTAGTGCGGACACCTGCGGCATTGCAGGCAGGAGATGAGCTGCAGGAAGATGCCGTTGATGCGGTCGGCCAGGCAAATGTCGTCCCACTCGGCCTCGTGCGGGTGCTTCTCGCACTCGTAGAGCAGCAGCGTTTTCATGTGGTAGCTGGTGACGGGGTTGCCGGGCAGGTCGAGGTGGCGGTCGCGCAGAGTCTTGAGGATGCTGAGGCAGCGCCGCCTGCTCGCGCCCTGCAGCAGCCGGTCCTCGGCGTGCAGGAAGGACAGCGCCCAGGCGTCGCCCTCCATGGCCGATTGCTTGCCCTGCAGGCCGATGCACTCCTTGCTGAGCATGTCGAAGCCCTCGGTCTTGACCTCGGCCACGAGGTTCGGGTGGGGCCAGGGTATGTGTGGGATGGGCCAGTGCGAGGCCGAGCGCGGCCACAGGCCGGCGCACTTGAACGCCGGCGTGATCTGCACCACGAAGCGCTCGCGGATGCGCAGCTTCACCTCCGTCGTGTCGGCGATCATCTTGACCGAGTCGCGGTAGGCGCACTTGTCGCAGGCCTGCGCCACCAGGGTCTGGAAGCGCGAGCGGATCTTGCGCGCCGACAGGTAGCCCGAGGCGGTGATGAACTCCACCCAGAGCGACATGGAGCGCTTGCGCCCGTCGCTGAGCTTGAGCACGGCGCAGCCCGGCAGCGTGCCGTCGTCCACGAAGTTCAGCACGCCCATCTGGTTCAGGTAGATCACGATCTCGAACTCGGTCGGCGAGATGACGTCCAGGCCCTCGAAGCGCCCGTTGTAGTCGGTCAGCGACGAGATGAAGCGCGGCTCCTGCACCTCCACCTCCTTCAGCACGTCCTGCACCACGCGGCACACCTCCTGGATGGTCTTGGCGATCTGCGACTTGCGCGACATCACGCGCTCGCCGAAGTACTTGTTCAGCTGGTACACCATCTTCGACTGGGCCGTCAGCATCTCCGCCGGCACCAGCATCTCGGCTGGCCTGTCTCGCGCGCGCCCAGCACAGCGGCTCCGCTCGCTCCTGGCAGCTCGTCCGTGGCCGCGACCTCGCCTATCGCACTCGCGCGCACATCACACCGACCACCGCTGCCGCCGCCACTCGGACCGCCGGAAGAATGCACTCGGCTCTGCCTGCGAGAGCAACAGAGCATGCAGCGCGCGTCGCCTCTGCGTTGTCTTGGCTCTGGCGTTGGAGCGCGGACTGCGCCACGGGCCACCACCACTCCTCGCTGCTTGCGCCAGGTGATATTGTGGCGCTGCGGGCTTGGCTCCGCCTCCGTGCTCTTCTTGAAAGCCGAGCCGCGGCCAATCGGCCAGCGATGGGCGTCACCGTGGCGCCCTTAGCGCGCGCGATCGATCCTCTCGCTGGCTACGCGCGCCAGCGCCGCAGTACTGCTGCTGATACTTTATTGCGCGCCGCCACACTCGACGATGGACGAGCGGCCGTCCGCGAAAGGCTCACCCTCGCTACGTGCCGTCAGGGCTAAATTATCTGTAGCTGGAGCCGCGTAATTCGACCTATACTGCGCGCGGCCACCCGTTCTCCAGGATAAAGCCCAGAACACGAGCGGCAAGCAAGCTCACTTATTCATTCGGATTTTTGCGCTGGCTCCCACGAGAAGCTGTTTATTTTACCTTTGCCGTGTCTGCTTTTTCCTTTGCTTGTATTACCAACTGATTTTCATCTTAACGCAGGCAGAACTGCTGCAATGTTGTGACACGCTAATCGGTGGGCCTGCATTTGCGCAAAACTTAACGAGTGCGATTCCTTGATCAAGTCTTCTTTCTATGCCAAGATTTCATCATTAAGCTCAATGCCGTGCAATGACAATGCCGAGAGAAACAATAAAACAAAAGCAAGTTGTCATCTAGTTAATGTAATATTTATTCTTTTTTCTAGTGGGGGAATTGATAGAAAATTTAGTCTCAAATATAATCTCATTCTACATCTTACCATGTAGTTCATTTATTTACAGTATCAGGTAACAAAATATTTTCAAATAAATATAAACATAATATAATATAGATAAATATGATACAATAAAAATAACGTAATATATAACGCTCAACAATGATCAGCTTGATGTTTACAATATACAATAAGTCTGAATAATTTTTCTTTCATCGATCGTTTGAACCGGAGTGACATGACGTTTATTCCAAATTTTATATGCTTTTGGGATGCACTATGATACGTAAATTCGAATATACGGCATATATATGATCTTATTTAAAATGTAATCTCAAGGTATCAATTTTGCTTCCACTCGTAGAGGAAGCCTCTTTTCATTATTGCACACTCGAAATCTTGATATATTAACGATTGAATCATAGACCATGGGTCAATTTCAATTTCATGAGTGTTTCATCGTAACCTTGTAAATGACATAAAACAACAGATTGTTTGGAATAAAATCTGTGCGGAAATTTTACTAATGATGCGAAGATTGCATTACTATATTTTACGTCATGAACATCTTCCCGAATTGAATCTCAAGACGGAAATGGTAACAAGAGATGAGTAATTATACATTATAAAATTTGCGGATATACGTATAGCCACAAACTGTCATAACGTCGACACAAGCTAGAAAAATGTTTTTATGTCTATAAAATTGAAAATTGAAGAAGCATCACCTTTATCACAAGTTATTCTCTGCGCATTTACACCTTCAATATTAATGTTGCCGCAAGATTACAAATTTAATATAAGCTTTTTCTGTACATAGTCGTATTGAAAGGGCTTCGACTATTTTTAAAAGCAATTTTGTTACCGTCATTGGCCCGGCGTACTTTACATTCGTATACAAGCGTAACAAATTTAGATGATTTAGAAAATTATAGAATTTTCGCGAAATATCACATATCCAGCAAAAAAGAGCCGACTATCGTATTTCTCTTGGAGGCAGAGTAAGCGATATTACTTTTTGGTTGAAGGATAGAAACGCCATCGAGTATTAGAAAGGAGGTTCCGACGACGCGCCAAGAAATCAGAGAGACCAACGCGTTGGTAAAGGAATATAGTGTGCAGTTAGAGTTTCTCAAGCGCACGGCTATTCATGAGCAGTTCCCGCGTGAGTCTCCAGACCTGCTTGGCGGCAGTCTCAAGAGCGCTCGGCGACTTGCCTTTGAACAGATCCAAATTTGGCAAGAAATAGTGAGGACACCTGCGACACTGCAGGCAGGAGATGAGCTGAAGAAAGATGCCGTTTATACGGTCGCCAATGCACGAGTCGTCCCACTCGGACTCGAGCGGGTGCTTCTCGCACTCGTAGAGCAGCAGCGTCTTCATGTGATAGCTGGTCAGCGGGTTGCCCGGCAGCTCGAGGTGGCGGTCGCGCAGAGTCTTGAGTATGCTCAGGCAGCGCTTGCGACAGCCGGCCTGCAGCAGACGAGCTTCGGCCTCGTTGAAGGACAGAACCCAGGCGTCACCCTCCATGGCCGACTGCTTGCCCTGCATGGCCACGCTCTCCTTGCTCAGCAGGTCGAAGCCCTCGGTCTTGACCTCGGCCGCGAGGTTCGGATACGGCCAGGCAATGTGTGCGATGGGCCAGTGCGCTGCCGAGCGCGGCCACACGCCCGAGCACTTGAACGCCGGCGTGATCTGCACCACGAAGCGCTCGCGGATGCGCAGCCTCACCTCCGACGTGTCGGCGATCATCTTGACCGAGTCGCGGTAGGCGCACTTGTCGCAGGCCTGCGCCACCAGGGTCTGGAAGCGCGAGCGGATCTTGCGCGCCGACAGGTAGCCCGAGGCGGTGATGAACTCCACCCAGAGCGACATGGAGCGCTTGCGCCCGTCGCTGAGCTTGAGCACGGCGCAGCCCGGCAGCGTGCCGTCGTCCACGAAGTTGAACACGCCCATCTGGTTGAGGTAGAGCACGACCTCGAACTCGTAGGGCGAGATGACCTCGAGGCCCTCGAACCTGCCGTTGCACTCGGTCAGCGACGAGATGAAGCGCGGCTCCTGCACCTCCACCTCCTTCAGCACCTCCTGCACCACGCGACACACCTCGCGGATGGTCTTGTGAATCTGCGCCATGCGCAGCTGCACCTTCTCGCCGTAGAACTTGTTCAGCTGGTACACCATCTTCGACTGTATGGCCATCATGGAGGAGGGCACGAGCAGCATGTTGGCCAGGGCCCGCGTGCGCGCTCGCTTCGCTTGTAGGCTCGCTCAGGCGTCTTCGGCGGACGGCGGGGTGCTTACGCGCCACTCGAGCACGGCCGCGATCCCGCGCCGCATCGCGACTCGAGCTTTCGAATGAAGAGCTCCGCCGCGGACGGAGCTCGGCCGCGCGAGTGCAATGCGCGAGTGTTGCCGCCGCTACTTGCGCCACTTGCCCTCTCTCGCTCACGCGCGCGCGCGCGCGCGCACATACGTATATGTGACCAGTCGGGCTTCTTGCCAAGTCCCGCCTCGGCTCTCACGTGCAGCGTCTGCGCACCTAGCGACTCGACCACGCCTACCGAGTGCCAACCGGAGTAAGGGAGAGAGCCACGCGTACGCGGAGTCGATTACCCTTTTCCGATGCCCCGCCAAATGAGCCTCCTCTGCGCTGCAGCCCGAAACTGCGCGTTCGCCTGAAATGCTGTTACGAGGGTTGTGTTTTGGCCCTCTCTCGCTCCTATTCATTCTCGTTGATTGCGCTTTAATGAGCGTCGCCTATTCGATTTTGAGATTTGATGCATCACCACCGCCTGCGCCTAATCCATCAGTCTCTTGTGACACGGTTCCAGCAGACTAATTTGACAGACTGAGAAGACAAATAGGCAGGTAGTTTGTCCGTTGCAATGAGTTAGCGCGAGCGATAAGGACATGCATAATTAGCGCATAGGCAGTGTGCATGGAACTGGACTTTTACAGAATCGCATTGGCAGTGCACGAACGCCAACTCGTAAATCGAAGTGTGCAAGCGCCGGCCGACAGATTTATTCCGTTCACGTGACGCTGGACATGGATGTTTCCTCCTCGCTCCAACTGGCGGGAACTTGATTTCAATATTGAAGGAGCGCACGAGAAGTCGATGACGATTTATACGCTCGGTGCAAGTCGTGCTATCGCGCCTGGCACGCACCTTGCTTCTTTTCTCTTTTGCGCATTCGTCGCGAGCGTTGGCGTTTAGCATGCGTAATTGATATACTAACGAGGCTTCGACTGTAATCAATTGCATTTACAGAAAGACGTCGTGTTGGCGGCGCTAAAATATTTACCACCAAGGAAGACGCTCACAGGCGATACACCTAGCAGGTTCCAAGAGAGGCGCATGGCGACGCGAGCGAAGACCAGTCGATATCCCATTGTTCACGGCTAATTGAATAAAGCTCGGGAATCCAATCTACTGGCAAGCTTCGTGTGCAAGATTGCCAGTCGCTGCGGCGTTTCCCCTACGCACCAACGCAGCGCCGTCTCTCCCTCGGCGTTACGCGGCTCTCTAATGCGGCTTGATTCATGAGAGCATCGCGCAAGAAAAAGCGGGATGATGGAAGCTGCGCGCACTTTGCAGCCCCCTACGCGGCGCGGCCCTAAATGTGCCTTTCATCATCCCATCTCCGACGTAATTCGGTTACTCTCTGAATTATTTGTACACCGGCGCAGATACGGCAGACTCGCGCTTATTAGATAATAGCACGGCGCTGCCGGCCAAAACAAATCGAGCCTTCGCTCAGCAGCTCTCTCCACTTCGCCTACTCTACTTTATCCGAGCACCTGATTCTCCGGTTGCGTCTAAATGATTAGCTGGGCTGTGCGTGGATGCGCGTTACTTCACCGTTCTCGACCCGTCCTCGCGTCGCCTGCTTGTCGCCTACTCGTTCCTTACTTTTTTCGCTGGTCGCCCGTTGACATTTCTGATCATTAACCTCCCGCGCGCGGACCTCTCCTTGGGCTACGGCGCGGCGCGCGCACGCCCGCGAGGAGCGCATCCGATCCGATAAGATCGCAGCTGAGAGTGAAGGCGCGACTACGAGCGCCTGTTTTTCAGCGCGCTGTGTGCCGCCTATCCCCTTTCGTGGAATCGAGAAAAGATAGAGACCTCATCGAATCCCAACCAATACGTGACCTTCTCTTGCTTGCTCGGTCGCCTTCTTCTTCTTCTTCTGCTCCTTCTTCTTCTTCGGTAATCAAAATTATTTTCGTCCGCTCTGCTCGCCGTTGCCAATCGCCTCGCACTCGTAATCCCCGATGTTTATCAACGCCTTCTTCGATTTCTTTGTTAGCCGAAACTTTATCTTCCGTGGGGCAGTTTTGGAACGGCATTATTTATCTTGACGGTCCGAGTTAGCTCGTGGCGGCTCGAAGAACAAATCGAAGCTTCGGGATGTAGGAGTTTGGGGAAAAGCTGAACGAACGACTATAGGTCCGAAGCTCGCCATCGTGCATCGACCACTGCCGGCGTGTGCACCGTGCTCGACACATATTTCTCATATGCTCGAGAGATCCGTGCTGCTGAAGCAGCTTACGCAACAGCGCGACTGCCGCGCACTTGAAAGGAAAAAATGAAGCGGTCCCGTCGAGGCTTTGTAAATCAGAGCCGAATGCGAGCACCGGCCCGACTAATCCTCGAGTAATCCGCGCGCATCGGGGATGCAGTCGGGGCCGACGCTCGTTTCACGGCCGCATACGCGCGCGCAACTCGAGCGTGCAACGAGACGAAGACCCTCGTGTGTTGTCTCGATTTTACGCTCGCCATGCAGCTCCGCTTTTGTATCAAGCTCTAAGGAGTATCGCTTTCTTTTCCGGGGTAGCCGCGCGTGTACGTAAGCGAGCCTTCGGCTTCTCCCGTTGCAATTGTCAAAGGACACAAAGAGAAATCAAACTGTTTACCATAAACTTTTCCTTTTTCCGGCATCGCCACGCGATGCCTCTGCTGCTTCCGACGCGACCATTACACAAAACTTTTCCAGAGCCAGCTCGCTGCTTCGTATCAATCAGAGAAATCAAGGAGTCGTTAATTGTTTGACGCGCAAGCCATGCGAACGCGCGCCTCATTTGCATGTGCTGACGCACCTGCGCGCGTTCAAAAATGTATAATTATTCATGCAAATGGGCTTAGCGCGCGGCGTACGCGTATCACGAAAGCTTTTAAAAATAATAGCAGATGTCCACGTACAAGCACATTAGGCTCGCTCATTAGATTGCGCATTTGCATATTAGCCCGCGCAGTAATGCAATATAGACGTAGGAAAAAGGGAAATGATGGATACGACGAAAGCGGCTGGCAACAGCGTTGCAGCTCGCATCCGCATATCTTAATTAGACGCGGAAGAAGCTCGACGGCGTACTACGGCCGTATGCGCGCCAGCTATTGCACTTGGCTTTGCACGCTGGCCACGATAAATTCGACGCCGGCCAAGCTGCGTCCGGGGGGCTCGCCGGCTCACAATGGCATCGGCATCGGCCGTGCATCCCACGCTGCCGCGCGTCTCTCTCCACCCCGCTTCCACCAATGTTTTATGCGTCCGTGCCTTATCTCCGCGCAGGTAATAATGGAGGTGCGTCGCGAGAGAGCGCACGTGGCCAAGGCATCCTTCATCCGCACCGCTCGCGCCCTTCTCCCCGCTGCATCTGCACTCCCGAAACTACCTCGCGTTCGATGAGCTGCCGCGAGATTATTAATCGCTTCCATCCCCGCGTCATATACTTCAGGTGAGCATTTTACGCTCTCCAGGCCAGGAACATTAATGACGTGTGAAGCGCTAGTTCTTAGTGTTTTTCTGCTCGTCTCAAATGATGGCGCTAAATGATCGTTTCATCGGTGTCGAGTGTCGACGAGCAATGATGTACTACATGAGTATCGACAAAAGCACACGCGGCAGCACTGCGTCAAGTCCAGACTGTTCACATGAGGGAGAGTCGAAAGGAAAAAAACGATGAAAAAAGGAGCAGCGTCATCAGCGGATGATCGAGAGACACGAGTACGCAGACACACAATGTGTTGTTAATCTGTTTGGTGTAGCAGGCTCCTCTCTCGGCTAAGTGGTTTCTTGAATCGAGCGACACATGTCGTTACATCGCTCGAGTGCGAGAGAGAGAGAGAGAGAGAGAGGCCATTGTTGCCAAGTGCTCCCTTTGGCTAAAAAACCTTTGATCGAGGGTGCACTAATGGAGCAACGTTGCTCGCGCACTTGACACTGCGTGTGTATGTAGCCTCTTTTCTCGGTGAGCGGTCCATGAGCGCGCGCGCAGAGCACCAGCCCCGTTGTTCTTTTCGGCGCCAGAAAGAGCGAGCCTCGGTTCCGGCCCGTCGGACTCCCCTGCACGCAGCATTCCACTCTATACATCTGCCTCGGCGGCTGTATATTCGATTGACACTAATCCGAATGAGATGCTCGCCAAATTACAAGAGCATTTGGGCTATAACTGCCAAATGAACGTGTCGACAGCTTTTTCTCGTTTCTTCATCCATCTTGTTTGTTCTACTGCCAAAGCAGCTTGCATCTGTCTTCGTTGACGCTTGAAGGTACGTCTAGGTAACGCTAGTTAGGATCTTGCTAAAATTGCTCAAACGATACGAGCATGTAGCTTTTTCATCGGTCAAAACATGTCGTGTAGTGAGCACTGCCGCGCGATAAGCGAGTAATTGTTTGGTTGATGATTGTTTCATAAACGTGACATATCGCATCTAAAAAGCTGCAGGTAAAGGGCCACAAAAGAAGCCGCAGACGTATAACCGGACAATGAATTCAGCAGCACGGCTGTTGCGTTCTTTATCGCGTCGACTGTATGTTTGGCGTCAGGAAGCTGCGCCCACGTTCTCGGGGCGCGCCGTTCGCCAGCCCCTTTTCTTATCTTGCATCCAATGTTGGCGCAGTCACGCCATTCGCGATCAAACATCATACGCGCTTTAATCGTTTGCATTTCCTTCTATGCACGGTTGACAAATGTCATCTCTCGCGCGCGAGTTCCACGGGGAAGAGTGTGCTGCCGACAATTGACGATATTCTTAGATTAGGTGCGACTGCGCAGACAGTTTATCAGAGGCTCGTTTGTAAAACACACTCGGCCGTACGCGTCCCGTTGAACTAGCATCTCGCCAAGCTGCCACTTCCGACTACTACACGAGACAAAAGCAGCCGACCACTGTGCGACACTCGTGTACGCTATTTCCATCTCGACGCGTGTCTCTCCCTTAGCCATCAGGTCCGTTTGCCTGGCAGCGCTACCACAGCCGCCGTCCCCAGGGATATCTAAGAGCTTGAGCGCTCTCAAGTAATTGGGTTTTGACGTTTCGCCGGCACGCGCGCTCGAACATCACATCGTTGGGACGCATCCACCGCTGCATCACCTCTCAACGCCTCGGCGTTTTTAGATTTCTCCTTTTAGGTACGCGTGCGCGTCTCTACGGCGAGCTTTCATCGATCATTTTGTGAAGCTTGCCGATTTATTTTCAGATGTTTCAGACATTTCCTTTCATTGCCTCATACTGTAGATATGCCGAGATACGCGCAAAGAAAAACGTGTGTAATTGATAGACCGTTTTATTTTCAGCCAAACATACCATATGGCCCGTGCAACTTATGTCTAATTTTATATAGTTGATCTTATTATATTTATTATTTTAGGTTCATTGAAAAGATAATAGCCGTGCAGAAACATAATAGAACTAAAGAAATCACACGTGTTAGTCTTTTCGACCTGCGTAACATTACGTTCAAGTTTAGTTATTACTGCGATTTCTGTTGCGAACTCGGAGCCAAATTCTTTAATTATACTCGTTCTCATAGACAAGAAATATTGTTTATTTACTAATCGTAGTATCAACTCTCCCTATTGAAGTTCTGACGAAAGTGAAAAAACTAGCGTCAATTGACAGAAATATAAATTTCTGCTTGACAACAAAGTTTTTAAATGTGTTTTCAGTATTAAATTCCAATTTAATTGCAAGTGGTCCGATAGTCGTACGTTACGCCAATGCTGTAAAAGTGTATACGTATGCCGCATAAGCAACATTTAACAAACGTAATAAATTTCTTGAGTAAAAATCGGGTATATACATTAAACATAAATTCAGCGCGATACTTGTGTCTTTTTTAATAAAACGCGGGTTTTATCGCCGCGAATAAACGCGTAGCCAAGAGGAAGATTTTATCGGTAGAATAATTCAAAATAATTTAAAGTTGATTCTCGGTGCTTGGTGACACAACGTATTTCTTCAATGCTATCTGCAGCTTGCGATCGCTTTGCGGCTTTTTTATTTTAATTTACCTCCCTTCCTCTCTGCGCATCTTTCTCCCTCTCTTCGTCATCGCGCAGCAGCCGCAGGTATAGGAAACTAGATTTGTTGTTGTTGCTGTTCTTTTCAACATACTAACGATCGCGAATCAAGCAGTACCTAGGTATATTATTGTTAGCAAGCTGAGAAGTTGAAACTTTGGAAGATAAATTTGTTATGAGTTATAAATATTGTGACGAGTGCACGCGACAAATGTATTCATATTCGCTTATTGTCTGAAAATGTTTGCGAAAAACAGTAGACAAGCTGTAATGGAGTGCTACAAAAACAAGCTGATTATCGCGTTTTAGCCACTTGCTAACAGAACGGGAAAACAAGAAAGTATCTTTTCTTTGCAAGTTTGCATATTTTTCTGAAGGATATTTAACCGCAGCCAGCAGCAAGGCGTCGGCAGATGGAAAATTTGCAAATGTCGGCGCAGCTATATAGCTCGAGGACATGGGGCACGAGAGCGCAAGTCCGTCGCTATGTACGCGTCCTAGGGATCGATTGTAGACACAACAGGGAAGCTCCTCCCACCCGTTCGGCCATCTTGCAAGCGGCCCTCTCGCACCTCACTATATCACATCACACTTGGCTGCACCACGCGGAGACTACTGCTTCCTCGCCGCTGCTACGCCAAGTCAGACCCGACTTCCATTGTCTTATTGGCTGACGGAGTCCTGCTCCCCCTTCATTCGAATTCTGCAGACCTTCCATCCTCTCAACAACTGTTGCAAATTTTATTTTACCCAAGATAAACCACGTTGTCCTTAACTTGACAATCTCATGTGGAAATCCACAATGCTTGCAAATGCCTATAACGATATGCTATATAAAAAGCATATATACGAACTTGTAATTCGACAGTTACGATCCACCGCAAATTAGAATTGCTCGAGCAATTATTTTTTCAATGCTTTTATTTCACACAAATTACCCTTGCTATATAACTATTGTTTGTTCAAATCAAAACTAAGAATAATAATTATAAATTGTACTTGTGCCGCACGAAGTGCATACAATTTTCAAATGCCTATCTTGTACATTTCCGCAGCACCCATTTGTAAAAACCTCTCTTTGTTGCAGGTCTTGAAATATTGCGACCATCTCCATGGAAAATGGTACTTCTCCGAAGTCCGAGCGATCTTTTCACGACGCTATCTATTGCAAAACATTGCGATCGAAATTTTCCTTGCAAGTCGAAGTAAGTATTGAAACATTTCTTTCGCTGTTCTAAATTGATTATCTTTGCTCATCCATAATCAATCACTTGTATACGTCGCACGTACTTCTTATACGCGAACTTATTAATCGTGAATTGATATACGTTAAAACGATTTTTTCTACTGGTGTTTTCGTTGTACGCTTTTAGCCTCCGCGTTTAACTCGATACGGACCCATTAGACGTGATCGTGTTTTCCAAAGGAATTGAAGCTTTGCAATACTAGGTGTTCTCTCCTCGCTGATATTTCCGGATGATTTTTTCTGATTGAGCGTTTGATTAATAAGCGCGATCTTTGCATTGATGATAATAAGTCATGAAAAAAGCATCTGACGATGGTGAGATTAATTCGACGGACACGAGGGACGTTAAACCGAGCGAACATTCGTCTGCCTTCCATGTAAATTGGACTCTTACTTTTATACCTGGTCCTCGGTGTAAATTCCAACCGGTGCGCGTCCTCCAGAGCGGAGATTCTAATCTAATGGGCTGCGCGACAGATCTGGCGATACTTCTGTATGTCCGTGAAAAATTTTCAAAGCGGCGACAGTTTGGCGACGCGCGGCCGCGCAGCTTGCCGTATGTTCTTTCTCGCTCGGAATTTCGTTTCACTCTCGAACTAAAACACGGTTATTATTCAAAAAGAATTATATTAACAAGGTAATACTTTGAACAATTTACAAACGCATATCGTATTACGCTCGCGAAGCTTGGCGCACCAGATGGCAAGTGTCGTTAATTTCAATCTCTCTCGATGGAAAAGAACTGCGCAAAGGAGACAAATTAATAAGCAAGTTCGCGCAGAAAATAATTTATAAAAGGTATTGGCATCGGTGGTGAACTCGACCGAATCGTAAAAGCCAAGCGGAGTCTAAAGTTACAGGGGAGGCCTCCGTGCGCACGCGAGCTCAGCTACGAAGTAGTCGTGTTTTATTATGCTTACAGCTTCCTCGCACGCCATCCCCGTTCTTTTCCTCAAAATTTATGTCGAATCGACAAGAATCTCGTGTAATATCGCACGAGCGTCGCGCAGTGTTCATCGACCATTCTCCGGCTCTCCATGTCCAATTAATTTTTTGCTAAATATTCATTTAATTTTTTTCACGTCTGTTTCCTTGCCGCGCGCACATCTCTCCCAATTAAAAGCGTTATATTTCAGCGAGTCGTTTGCATAATCAAGTTAATGCATGCGTCACGTTTATTCGAAATAATACCTCTGAATTGCAAATGGATCGGTCGCGAAAATCATGAAGCGTGTTGCGCAGCTTATAGAAAGGCTTAGTTTCGTTATCTCATATCGATAATGTACAATGAGCAATGATATCGAAGGCCTCGCTTATTAGGAAGCTCACGCACGAGTTGGCAAACATACAACGATCGAGAGCGGCTCTGTAATGATTCGCATAGGACGAGAATAACTGCCGCGGCGCACGCTACGGGCTACCGGTTACCTCGCCGCGCCAACCCCCCGCGCAGTTCTATCAGGGATCGTGCGACTACTCGTCGTTTATCAATCCACCCCACGGCCAGCATAGCAAAATCATTTTTCATGGATAATTGTTCTTCTGTATACTCGCAAACGGAGCCTCACTTTCTCCTCCGTCTTAATTGTTCATGTTAGTAAAGGAAAAAAAATCTAATATTTATCGTCTCTTCAGGCGTATCTAGTTTAGTCAACATTTATGGCTTATTAATGCTTGTTTACAAGCAGTAATAGATAAAAAGTGCTTCGGCGACTACGTTAATAAAGAAATTTTCCCATGCACGGAAGAGAAAAAACTAAGCTCATGTCACTTATCTTATCGACACTCTTATTCGTAAAATGCAAATCCAATGTTGCCAAGATATTTACAGTGCCACAAAATAGCTTTCGATATGGCCGATTCGACACATGATATTTTTCCCGATGAGTCCCTGCCAGCTGCCTTGTTCTCATCGCAATTTCGTATATCTTTCTTTTTTTCAGCCTCAATCTTCTTCGTCTTTCCGGACCAGGCAACAGTGAAGAAGGTGATCAAGGCGCTACCGCGAGTCGGCGTCGGTATCAAATACGGAATCCCACAGACAAGGTAAGGCCCCGCTTTACGATTTTACGATTTATATGAAGCCCTAACACACTCACACATACTAAGCCTCTCTCTTTCGTGAATTCGGGCGGCGACTTTGGCAAACACGAAAGTCGCATTCCGAAAGAGCCGCTTTCTTCGATGGGATTCGTCGTCGACTTCGAATCGCGCGCCCAGTCCCTTGTAGCCCAACTCATCCTTTATTCTTTTGCTTTGTTTTTGCTCTATACCTCTTGTCACAGCTGCGTGGCTTTCCAACTCACCGTCCCTTTTGTCTCTCCTCGGCTGTGTCTTCTTCTTTTTCCTCTTTCACTCTAATCTGCAGCTTTTTTGCGTTGATTCGGATGGCATACTCTTCGCACTTTTTTGTTCGACCGTGAAATTGTTGGCTCATTTCTAAGTTGGAAAGATTTCTGTGACGATACAATTGCCATAGTTGATAAAAAATAAAGTTCTCATTGGACGTACGCTATGAAAACTTTGCTTTTTCCAATTGCAATGTCAGTAACATTGTCAGTGTGGACAGCCCTCTTGAATCAGTCAAAATTTAAGTAATTATACCTATAAAATGTTTGTGGAGTCCAAGATGACAAGTTAGGCCCGAAGAAAAACTGAACGCCTCGACTGTAAAAGTTCGTATATAATTTATAGTTGCTAATCGTGAAGAATAGACTACACCTGCAGAGTGTCTCTCGTATACGCGTCATCAAGAGATGCTCTTGTAAGTTCTGAATGGGAAATTGCGCCTGACTGGATCATAAAGCCACGGCATGGAGATTTACGGCGCTGACGCCTGTGCGTGAACGAGCTGCCGCCACGAGCTTTTTGATCTTGATATATAGGCAAAAGCGCGCTCTCTCGTGCGCTATCGTGTTGTCGTTTTAATAGCCGAACCGAGGGCAGATTGGAGGATGGCAAGAGGCGCCGTCACCAAGTCTGGCCGAAGAGAAAGAGAGAGAGAGAGAGAGAGAGAGAGAGAGAGAGCACGACGACAAGTCCACTTGGGCGTGTGTACGAGAGTAGTGTAGTGGCACGCGAAGACGTACAAGTTTCATCACTTCTTCATTTCACGTGATTCAAGTCACTTATTAATGTCTTCTTACTTGCAGGCGAGCATCGATGATGTCACCGCGGCAGCTGATGAGGAACTCGAACATGACGCAAAAATGGCAACGTCGTGAAATCAACAATTTCGAGTACATTATGTTCCTCAATACGATAGCCGGTAAGTTGACTCGAATGGTTCTTGCACCGATTGTTTTATTAATATGGTATAGTTCAAAGAAAACCGCAAGCAAAAAAGCGATCTGAAAGAGAGCGAAAACAAGGCAAAAGATTCGGTAGCCGCAACTCAAAGGCCTTATTTACATTTTGTAAGAATCGCGGAATAAAACGAGAAAAAAAGCGGGAATGACGATGGGAAAGAATAGGGCTTTTTGTCGGGTTGGCTGGTAGCGGCAGCGTGGCGCTGCTACTGTGCACAGGCGGATGGATACTGTCGGGACGCATTAGGGAGGTTCTCAATCAGCCGCCGTGCACAGAGAATCGAGAGAGAGAGAGAGAGAGCGAGCGAGCGAGCGAGCAACCCCGAGACTGTAATCCCCGCCGATCCCGTAGTTCGACTCTAATCCTCCATCCCAAGGGCTGACCTTCCCCGTCCCCGATCCCATATAGCTTTTGTCTTCCGATTTTTCGGCGTAATTGTAATATCAGAGCTGGGAATAGCGCGTACCTTGGGTATTTTTTTCACAAGCCCGTATCACGGGACTGTTCGTCGGCGACGCGTGCCACCCTCACTGTTGGCTTCTTTCGACGCGACGTTGATTGGACGGGCCGGCGGAAAGGTGATTATCTGTGGCTCGCCGAGATCTAATCATGAGCGAGCTGAGCAATGGACAGCTTCATTCGTGGTAGTCGAGAGGCGAAGCATGACTGTGAAAAAGCGAATAATCAATAGTGAGTAGCGAAAGTGGGTGCTCGCAGCTCACGAGTCTCGCCATTCGTACTCGCGCGAGCGACCTTAATGACGCGCTTGAAAAGGGATGCGTAATTACAGGTATTTCCGTATCGAGAGGGCAAGGGAGTCCAGCTATATACGCCCGCGGCGCTTGCGCCTTTATTTACGAGCGTTATATATTAATTGCTCGAATAAATAGCCGGCGGTATTTGGTATAATATATATACGGGGGATATGAGCGCGCGCGTGCACCGTGCAACCGCGAATGAGCTCGGGATGCTCGAACAACCGGTCTATATCTCGTAGCCTTTTTATTTTCACCTCCAGCCCGCGCACCGCGCACGCTCCTCTTTCTTTGTTTCTCTTGCCTCGTAAACTCAGCCTCTATTTCCATATCCTCTTTTTCTTGTCTTCTTCTCCTCTCTCGCCAAGAGCTCTCATTTCAATTACTTTCAGTTCTACCGCCTAGCGCTACGCGACCATCTCGCTCAGCGCCAGATTTACTTTTGACAATTTTCCAACGAGCCTCATTAATTTCCACGTCTTCTTCCATTTGCTTTACTCGATGCCGTTCTTCTTCGCATCATCTTTTCGTCAGTGATAATCGTATTATGAGGATCAAGCTGCTGATACTCTTTTAATAAAAATCAAACTCATCTTTTACATTTTGCCCGGCGGCATCAGTTTATTAAAAATTAATTACATCGGACGCTGTGTATATACGATTGCGAAGCTGACTTGTATTACATCTTGGCGCCGCACACTATATGACCACTTGTGTACTTTTTATTTGCTTGTTTATTAATCGATTTTCGATGTGAATAATTACAATTATTTTATACTCCGGCGAACAGTATATTGAGTTAAATTTTCTTTGCTGCATGAAAAAGATATAGGTCTTGCCTTAAAGTTAGACGAAAATAATGTTGAGTCTTGACATTGTGTTGATGGACGATTGGTTTTATCGTCCCATTTTAGACATTAAATTATTACAAATGTGGTGAAAAACTATTGTAGATACATTATGGTTATGGCTACAAAATTCAAATTCTTTGCTGCGTAAAAAGCTACTAGAGCAACACAACAAAGAAAAGATCTTCAATCAAGGAGGATATTTAATTAAAATAAATAGGTTGTGAATTCAAGTAATTATTGCTTGTAAACGGAAAAAAGCATCGCAAAAATGTTCTCAAAATAGGAAGGTCTCAGTACTATTTGTTGAACTTATTTTAAATATTTTATGTAACGTGATTTACCTAGAACATTATAGAAAGTCATAAAATGTAAAAACTCAATAAAATATATTTATTTGCTTAATCACGTAAAAGAAGGTACCGAAAACCAATATTATACTTCATTCGAATCTCAAATTTACGTGCGTGATGAATGTGCCATTCTATGACATTATATTCGTAACATCAATTGATGACAGTTCTAAGGTTTCAAATTATTTACAAGCGCGTAATCTGTTTTACAACAGCTATTTTGTGCTCATGTGAGTGATTTTATTATCCTTAGAGTTTTTCGTAGGTCTATATGTGTCATTCAAACTATCCCAATATTAGTAATCATAAAATTGTAATATCCCATTCAACTAGTTTTTTTCATATCTTTCAAAACTGTATTTAGCGCATAAACAAATCAAATGCTATCCGGATAACTATTTCTATTTGAGTATAGCCAGTATGAATCGTTCCAAAATGTAGACGTTCTATAAACATTCGATTGTGCTACGTGCATAAGCTAAGAGAAACTTTTACAATTAGCCAGAACACATTCAGATATTCCAGTAATAAAAGTGAAATTTGATTTATCTTTTATTTTTTTAAATTATTATTCAATCCTTAATTTATAATTATCACATATTTTATGTCATTAAAAATGCCAAGTGATGTTGATATTTTAATTTGAATACCCGGTTCGACATCGGATACCTTTTTTTGATGTAGCTAGAAAAACGAGTTTTCCTACAATTTAGATAACTCGCGTCGGATACAATTGAATTCATCATGCAAGAGTTCATTTTAAAGCTGCTCTCGTAAACATTAAAATGGCTCGTCATAAGTTAAAATCTTCAGTTTTGACTCGAAGTCACGGCTATTCGCGCTTAACAGTTTAGCAATAAATTTATTTAATTGTCGCTGTTTTGTTTCGGTTTCTCCATCACTTTATTGGTATTAATTAAGCGCGATAGGAAAATGATTGCGTTCTTTGCTATGTTGCATAATGACATACTCTTCATTTTTAATTAAAAAATTAGTGAGGTTAGGTAGATCGGCATTTCTTAAATTAAGAATGAAGTGTCATTATTTTGAGAACATTATTTTTGTTTTAAGTCAAACATTTTTCTCTGTAGAAAGTTATGAGAATTATTATTTTCGATCGAAATAAGCGAAAATTGATTCAAGTACAAAACGTTACAAAATCAAGTGATAAATGTTAAAACGTGCTTGAAACGTGATACAGTGAGGTTGAATTGTGATCGAATAAAGTAAAGCCGAGAGTTTGAGCTAAATTGATGCGATACTGGCGCACTGTAAATTCGGTATACGCGGCAATGAAAATAAATACGCGAACGGAGTACGAAGTAGAAACGGTAACGAGGCTCGCGTATATAGCAACAACCAATTAATTGCAAAGAGTGACGCCCGAGGAAGAAGCGCCTGTGCGATAAAAAGAAAGCAGAGAGCATTTATGTTTCGAGTCCTTTTTTCGCGCGTGTCAAGCCGATTGAAAAGTGCAGGCCGCACGCCGGTTGCGCAGAGAGGAAGACTGAGAGAGGTTAAGAGAAAGAGAGAGAGAGGGAGAGAGAGAGAGAGAGAGAGAGAGAGAGAGAGAGAGAGAGAAAGCGGACCACCGCGGCGAGAAATTATTAAGAGGGCTGCGCTCATCGAGCAAAGGTCCAACGAGCGCGTTAAGAATGAGCCTGTCGTTTTCGCGGTTGCTCGCACTTAGGTTAGGCACATAAAAATAGAAGCCGGCGGCGCAGCGAAGAAGTCGAGGTGGAAGGAGCGAATGAGATCGAGAGAGAGAGGCTCGAATCCGTATAAATGCGCGTGCTGTCGGGACTACTTGGCCAGGCTCTCGCTCAGCGCCAACCTCCCATTAATTATTGCTCGCGACTATCATTTACCGCCAACGCTTCCATCTCTTTGCGCGAGCTATACGAGCGCCGCCGCCGCGCTTGATTTAGCGACTCATTGTGCTGCTTCGAGGCAAAGCGACACGCTTTTCTATACGTTCAGCGTCTGCACCTTTATAGCTTTCGCTCGTTAAATTTCATCTCTTGAATCGCGTTTGTTTGATCTACACTGAGGCGCATTTTCGAGTGTGCACTAAAATTATTCTTCACTTTTTCACGCTATTTATTTTGCTACCCGTCTATATACGGACATTTATTATTGAACTGGCCATGATCGAACGATTTTTAGTTGCATTTGCGCAGTGCTGACAAAAGAATTGAATACGGCGTTGCGTTTGCGCGCAGATATGGATGCACTTCAACGTTCCATTTGTTGTTTGTTTACAGGGCGTACGTACAATGATCTCAACCAGTATCCCGTATTCCCATGGGTCTTGACTAACTACGAAACGAAAGAGCTAGATCTAAGTTTGCCTAGCAATTATCGTGATTTGTCAAAGGTAAGGCGAAAACATGTTTTTTTTTGTTTTTACATTTTTTTTTATCAGAGACAATAATAACTCTTATTCGATTACCGTTCATCATAGCCCATTGGCGCGTTGAATCCAAGCAGGAGAGCTTACTTTGAAGAGCGTTACCAGAGTTGGGAGCACGACAGCATACCGCCTTTCCACTATGGCACGCATTACTCGACAGCTGCTTTTGTCCTCAATTGGCTTATCCGAGTGGTCAGTTGATCCCATTATTATTTTCGTAAATAAATACGCAATAAACAGAGTATATCTGGCAATAACGGTTGAACAATCATCACAGAGTAGATGAAGTTATATGTATACATCACGCGTAGATATCACAATTTTGGAGCACTCTGAAAGGATGGGGTTAAATCGTGTGGTAAATAGGCGTGAATTTGCACTCGTGCCAACTTGTCTTTGATCTATAAGAGAAGATTCAAGTAACGAGATAGTGACTTAATTTCGCGCGTTACAGTCGAGATTCCATAAGAGCCGTAGTGTTGGAACTTTCGGCGCCTCGCGTCAGCACGTGGCGTGGCGCGCTTAACCAGACCGTAAATCTGTTAGACGCATTTAGTAGGTTTTGCGCTTGCACTAATTTGAGGGCGTGAGTGGGAGGAGACCGTTTATTCGTTTTTCGCGACTCTACGCTCTTCTCTCGTGGCACTGCTCCACGGTGTGCGCGGCACTTCCTTTTCGACTTAAATAGACTTAATACCGAAGCGTTGACGGAGCTGTCTTCTCAGTACGGAATTTCCTGACTTTCTGCACGAACTAATGTCTACTTATAAGTTACGCTCGATATTTCACTCGACTTCCAGGATGCTTTATTATTTTCATACGTCATTTACTCGCGCTTTTCGTCTTGCCATCTATAAAATTAAGACACGTTCTAATTATGCTCAATTTTTAATCTTTCCCAATCAATGCACTCGCACAATATACTCCAATCTCTTTTTATTTTAGTTTTAAAAATTCACGTTTTTAATATAACAACATATTAATATATACATGATAAATAAATTCAACTGCACTAAATATTAATTCGAGTTGACGATAAGATCAGGTAGTTACTTGTGATATGCGGATTTATTGCCAGTGCCAAACGAGAAATCTATTGATTATTATTTATTTGTATTAAATTCTAAAATAAATACACGTACTGAAATTTTTCATTGCTTCATTATAGGAACCATTTACAACCATGTTCTTGGCTCTACAAGGAGGCAAATTCGATCATCCAAATAGACTTTTTTCATCTATAGCTTTGTCCTGGAAAAATTGTCAACGTGATACTTCGGACGTCAAGGTAAGCTTATTTACCATCATTAACATGAATATATTAAACCAGTTATTTAATCTTATTGCAATATCAACAGGAATTGACTCCGGAGTTCTTTTTCTTGCCAGAAATGCTTGTCAATACAAATCGATATCGGCTTGGAAAACAAGAAGATGGTAGCTCGGTTGGTGACGTTGATCTACCTCCATGGGCTTCTTCTCCTGAAGAGTTCATTCGTATCAACAGGATGGTACAATTTATATGAACTTGAATTACAATACTGCGTCACTATAAAAAATTATTGTAAATAATAGAATATTTTTTTAGGCTCTCGAATCTGAGTTCGTTTCCTGTCAATTACATCAATGGATAGATCTTATTTTTGGTTATAAACAAAAAGGTATAAACATTCTTTTTCTCCTAGTAACATTATGATGAGAATGTTATTTTATTATTCAATTTCATTATTAGTAATAACGTCTCAAGTTAAAAATCGAATGGTAGTATTAGTCTGCAATTTCATTAGGAAATGGAACGGTCATAAAAATCAATAATATATACATTTTTAATTGGTAAAGAGCCATTTTTCTTTGTCATGCTAGAGAACGCAGATTCATGAGGATTTTAAATAGGGACGGCGTGGGCACCCCTGTATCCGTTTGCCTTCCTCGAAAACACGCTGCACTCATCGCGTATGGAAAGAATCAGTTGTTTAAGAGAGGCGTCTTTTGCTGGCAAGCTTGCTTATGGAAACTCGCTTCAAACCAATTAGGCGCGTGTATCCGGGCGCGACAACGTAATGCGTTACTCGACGCTCTCTCTCTCCCTCACTTCTCTACTCCATTGCTTGCACGCAAAGACGGATGCATCGAAAGTGCACTACACGGCTGTACTTCGCCCGGAAATAGAGTCACTTATGGGGATATCCTCTCGGATATATTATATAGAATTAACTTTGACCAGAATTGAAGCGCTGTTCCCCGGATATTCTCGTAATACTTTTTTTCACCCTGTTGGTTTGTTTAACGCGACTTTCTTCATTCTAGCGCTTTTTTGTCCACGTTTTTCCATGTTCGCACCGCTATCTTTAAAGTTCCGAGGAGGATCAGATTATTTAATACTCTAGAAAAAAACTAAGATTGATGCCTCACCAATTAATGCCCCCAGTGCTTACATGACACATGGGATTTTGAGACTGACGAAAAGTTATTCATGTGGATTATTTACATAATCGTGATACATATCTTTTCTATTTTTATTTTGAACGAAGATCGTATTTTTTATAATTTATGTTTATGAGTTGTGCCGCATGATTCTGATATAATTACGTTATTTTTAGGCCCTGAAGCAGTTCGAGCAACCAATGTGTTCTATTATCTTACTTATGAGGGTAGCGTAGAACTCGAGTCGATAACCGATCTTGTAATGAAGGAAGCGATTGAAAATCAGATCCGTAATTTCGGTCAGACGCCCTCACAACTTCTCATGGAACCTCATCCGCCGAGAAGTTCTGCAATGCATTTGGTAAGTTTTTTTTTCCATTCAATACAATTGTATTTCTATATGACTGAATGAAGAAATTTGGTCACGAAATTTTTCACGCAAATTTTTAATTATTTCTTATGATTATATCATTCACAGTCGCCAATGATGTTTTCAAGTATACCTGAAGACGTTTGTATGACTCTGAAATTTCCATCTAATTCTCCGATCTGCCACATTTCGGCTAATACTTATCCACAATTACCGTTGCCTTCCGTGGTCACCGTGACCACTGGTCAGCAATTTGCTGTCAATCGATGGAATACTAATTATGCAGGTACGTATAATTTTTTTATTGTCACATATCATTCACACGAATCAAACCATTGTCGATCTATAAATTTTACATTTTACTCAATTTAACTATAATATTTTTAGCAACAGTCCAATCGCCGAGTTATGCAGATACGCCACAAGCCCAAGCAGCTAATCAACCATTATCAATGGATCCTATCTTATGTAAGTACTGGCAATACATTATCCAATGATGAAATGCTTTTAACTTATGTATTTTATAAGATATTAATAAAATATTATCTTTATTCAGCACAAACAGCAAATAGTTCAAATCCAGCACTGCGACGACATCTTGGTGACAATTTCAGTCAGAAGTTAAAAATTCGAAGTAACTGCTTTGTCACTACTGTTGACAGTCGTTTCCTCATAGCTTGTGGTTTTTGGGATAATAGTTTTCGTGTATTCTCAACCGAAACAGGTATGATTACAAACTGAAAAAATGGAGATAAAATACATTACTTAAATATATTATCTTAAGTATATTACAAGGAATTTAGTGTGTATACTTAACTATTACAAAAAAGTAGATTCTTGTTTCGTGTAAAGCTTATGCCCGAGCGAAGCGAAGCGAGACGAAAATCTTTTTCTCAAACATATTAGGTATAATATTTTTCAACAAAACGTAAAGAACGCGCGAATTTGAACGCACGTTTTTCTCAGGGCGCCAAGTCGTATTTTCCGCACAGCGTGTTGAATTAGTGTTTATTGTCAATGAATTGAATTTTTCGTTGCAGCAAAAATTGTTCAAATTGTATTCGGTCATTATGGTGTTGTCACATGCTTATCAAGAAGTGAGTGTAACATCACGTCCGATTGCTATATCGCATCTGGTAGTGCAGACTGCACTGTTCTACTTTGGCACTGGAATGCTAGAACTCAGACTATTGTTGGCGAAGGCGAAACACCAGCACCTCGTGCTACGCTTACTGGACATGAACAACCAGTCACCGCTGTTGTCATTTCTGCTGAGCTTGGTCTTGTTGTATCTGGATCCCATAGTATGTCTCATATTGCAATTTTCAGTTGTACATTAATCGATTATAAACGTTTTAAAAAATTTATTAACAAATTAAATTTTTTCAATATAGGTGGTCCAGTTTTGGTTCATACAACATTTGGTGATTTGCTGAGATCTTTGGAGCCTCCAAATGGCTTTTCATCTCCTGAAAATATTGCTATGTCCAGAGAAGGTGTTATTGTTGTAAATTATGAGCGTGGACACGTAGCTGCCTTCACTATCAATGGAAAACGTCTTCGATATGAATCGCACAATGATAATCTTCAAGTGAGATATTTATAAACATTTCAATTTTATGTATCTTCAATCTAAGTGCATGAATCATGTAATTGAAGTTTATACAATAAATTTATTTTATTTCATTTTTTTAGTGCTTACTACTCAGTCGAGATGGCGAGTATCTGATGACGGGAGGAGACAAAGGGATTGTAGAAGTTTGGCGGACCTTTAATTTAGCACTTTTGTACGCATTTCCTGCCTGCGAAAGCAGTATTCGCTCGTTAGCATTATCACATGATCAACGGTTTGTATAATTAATAATTGCTAAGAAATAATCTCATCGAATAATACGGCATGGTATGTTGGAATGTATTATTTCATTAATTTTTTTCTATTGTAGATTTTTGCTTGCTGGTTTAGCGAATGGCTCAATAGTAATTTTTCATATTGATTTTAACCGATGGCATCATGAATTTCAACAGCGTTATTGAAATTTCATGCTGGATTTTATGGAGCAAAGACACACGGGAAAACGGCAAAGATGTCAACATAAAACCTTAAAATAAAGCAAGCAATTTTATGATAAAAAAAATTAATTACCGTATAAGTTTAGATGAATTCAAATATATTATAGAAGGTCAAAATTTTCAATCAAAATAATTAGGCAACTGATACCTCATCAAATTGAAATATATAACTTATTTAACAGCGACTTATATTTATAAATACAGTTGGCTTTGCAATCGAACACAGCATTAAGTCAAAGACAAATAAAATCAGTAACCATTATCAGTCAAAAAATATCCATCATGAAAACGTAAGAAATAGAATACTAGTCAATTATGGAGACTTGAACATATAAATACATACTTGTCAGAAATGTGTTAATCGAAGAAAAAACGAATCATCAAAAATGAAACAAGTTCTGAAGTTTGACAAGTAAATCATTAAGATGCCAAACTCTCCATGTAACATTATTTTTATGCTTCACACGTGAGTTATGGCTATTGATCGCTTAGTCACTATTATGTAAATATATACGTTATATGCGAATAATATAAATAACATCTATTGTACATCTTCGTGAAATGCATTGCAAAAGCCTTAGGTATCGAAAATACATGGTAGTATGTTATCGCAACGTATTACAAATAGTAAAATTCAATGAACGTTAACGACTATGTTAGCATGCTAATGAAGATCGATATTTTGTAACGTATTGGGAAAATGAATATGATAAGATATAGAGACGACAGAATCCGTTCTTTAGGTGTCGTTTACTTTTATATGCTAGGGCTATTATCGTGGAAAGCGAATATGAAATAAAAAAACTTTGCAAGATCAAGCAATGTTAGGAGTAAATTTGTACGTTGCCAAATTCGTCCATTTTCAATTGAAAAAAATACTATTAGTGTATGTCTCTTTCTAATAATACATTGCATTTGCCAGTTACAGTAAATAGTTATGAATGAATTTTGCATAACTATTATGAGAATGACACAAAGAACAATTTTGATCGATCTCTAACGTAGAGTTTTATAATCCTTCATAAAAATTATTACAATTGCTCATTATGCGCTAGTAATAATGCGAAATAAATTAATTAACAAAACATAGTACGTAGTAGATATAAATATTTCATATATTTACTGATGCAATCGAATAGGAAATACATACAAATTAATCAGTAGCCCTCCCCAAGCGTACTATGTTTATATTCGCGTCCTTTAAAAAAATCCTAATTTTATCAGTGCCGTCCAGCTTAACTCTATGAGAGTATTTTTTTAATATTTCGCATGTAATTCAGAAAATGAACGATAAAATAATTTAAAATAAATGATGCATGAAATTCAATAACAATAAAAAACAACAACAAAATATGTCAAAGCTTTTTAATGATGTTAAGCTCGGTTCAAATACTTAGTCGTACGACTTAATGTGAGGATAATCGTTTTGAATGGCATATATGATATAAACACTATTTTTAGTTTTAGTTGATGTGATACCAGAGTGAAGTATAAAGCAGTGCATAATTTTTTTTTTTTTTTTAATCTGATTAACGGAATGACTGCAAGCATAATATATTCTTTTTTGCATTTACTAAAATGATTTCTTATCTCTATTTAGAAAAGTTGGTTTTAATGTAATAACTACGAATGCAATAATTTTTGTTTATTTTCTCTTTTAGAGTATTTGAATGTGATAAATTATTCTGAATTTCCTAGTTATAACTTTCTTTGAATTTCAATTCACATTATACTTCATTTTGGTATTAGTAGTAATTCTTATCCTTGAATGACTTTTAATATCTTAAATATGTATAGTAGGATTTGAATTTTGCTAACATTGAATTAATTTCTTCATCGTACATTGAACATAAATTATAAACTAATACATTTTTCTACTCAGTAATAACCTTTACTATATATTTAGATATTTCTTTTATGCATTAAAAATTAATTTATTAATGGATATACATATAACAATTTTCAATCACAAATATTAAAACATTTGTATAAATTTATTATTGAATAATTCAATCTAATAAAAGTTACAATATTTGAAGCTCTAATAAAATAATCTATTTAATTTGAAGATTTATTAGTTATTTTACTAGTCATTAATATTGATTTATTATTTTATTGAACCATAATTTCATAATAAATAAAGTAACATGCTATATTCCATATACACGTATTTAAAAGTAAAGTAACAACAACAAATAACAATAACTGTCATAGAAAATAATAATATTAAAATTAAAATCATGGGAAAAAGTGCAAAAGCTACAATTGATCACTTACAGTCATAAAAAATGATCATTTAGCTTGTAATATTTGCTGGAAAATTGCTTAGAAATAAACAATTATAGAATAATGATTTATTCTTATGCAGTTCAGCAAGTAATACTAAAATATTATAAAGGTCTTGTATGTGTATTGTTTTTTAATTGTATTTTGTTTAAAAAAGTTATGAAGATATAATGTTTTTAGTTGACGCAAGTGAAACAATAAATGCGAATGACTTTTGTATGGATGTACAATAAGTAATGTATTTTTAAGATGCGTGCTGTAAAAATTGGCGTACTATGTTAGGAAAATTATACTTAAATATGGAATATATAATAAAACGCGCTTTGTTATACAAGCATTTACACATCGTAATTGTAAGAGCGTACTTACGATGTATATACATGCATTGTTATTTTTAAATGTACAAAGTCAATATATAACTTTGGAAGAAGTAAAAAATCGAACATTCCCTTATGCTTACAATCTTCTACAACAGTGACGTAAGAAGATATAAAAAAGAATGAATATTTTTGCTGAATAAAAGCAAATGCGTACATTTATTGCTAAAAGATTTTTATATATTTGTTTACGATATTACACAAATCCCTCCAAATGGTTGCAATGAATACGAATATGAAACTCGCGGGACAAGACCAGAAAATATGGCTAGATTTGATGTTTTTTCTATCCAAGCTGATTATATTTCTTCACTTATCATACATGTTTGTATGCTCCATCAAATGTTGTAAAATATATCGTAATTATTATACGATTCAAAAGGTTGCAATACATTCAAGGAATTATAACTAGGTTAACAGGAAATTGCAAAAAGGAAAGAAAAGCTTTCATTGTTCATATAATTATAAATTATAAATAATTAAAACAACCATACTTATACACATACTTTAGGACTTATAAATATATAAATATCACAAAAATTTGCAAACTAGAATGCATAAATTTGTACATTTGAACAACTGAGCACATTAATGTTTGAGTGTGACGTTATTTCAATAAATACTCGTCGTAATTTGATGGATGCAGAATGTACGAATTGTGTAAAGTTTTGTCCAATTAATTGTTAAATATGATAATCTTGCGCGTTCAAACATGTTTGAGGAGTTGAATAATAAAAAATCTTTCATGTTTTATATGTGTGAGTGCAATATTGTTCAAGGAAAGAATCAGTGTTCAAGTATACATAAAAGCGGATTTAACGATTTTTACCGTGTAAATTGAATGATTTTAATTTTAATATTTTAAATTAGTGATTGGAGTATACAAAAAAAATGTTTCTTCATCTCAGTGTAAAATTGGTTCTTATGGATAAATAATGTTTTATTTATATATTATATTAAATAATTACACAGAAATAATCTAATATGCCTAGTTCAAAATTAAGTATTTGTGAACGTTTTGTAGAAAAGAATCATCAAAAGTGAGAAGTCGTTGCCGCTACATTTACAAACTAATATAAAGTAATCGAGATACTTAAAACGTTGCTACTTACATTTAATTAAGCTTTGTTGCTTATTTTATACTTAGAAATACTTAATAATTGAGCTAGCAGCTATTGTAATGGATTCATATTTGCGAAACGACTCACCAACACATCTTATATTCCTGATTATCAAATAGAAATATTCTGTAAAAATTAGACGAATAAATTAAAAGTAAATTTGATGTTACATGTGATTTTATTATTCTCCTATACCTTTTTATTACGACGTAATATAGTTTTATATTATTGATTTTAATCAAACTCTCTATGATCATATAGAGATGTATAATGACACAGGCCGACATCCAAAAAAATTCAGAAAAGCGATAGTAAATTTCCGAAGGTATTTGATGCGCTGAATCCGAATCTGTCTTCAGAAATAATTTATCACTTAAGATTCTCGAGATATCGTAACTTAAAAGTACAAATATCATGATTATTCACTGTGTTTGTGAAAGAGACCGCATCCATCAGGAATGGAATTGATGCATTGTTTTTATCAATTATAAAACCTATTCATGCTATTAGCTCCACAACACTTAGTAATAATGGTTAAAAAATGTTTAAGAGAGAGTGATGTATCAATTTTTTCGGCGCTCATCTACATCGACTTCAGCTGAAAATGAGGTTGACTATGACACTATTAGACGAACTGTTGGTTGGTCTGAAGGTTCAGAGGTATTCACAAAACATTATCAAAGACTAATTAAAAAAGATGGTTTCACGTTCTCACAAGTTGTATTGCAAAAAAGTTTAGATGATTAAATAAAAAAGAAAGAAAAAAAGGTGCTTTATTCAACGGTAAAATTTAATATATATAATGAACGATGTACACTGAATAACACAAATCATTTAATGGAAAATAGATTATATTGCCACAATGTTAGTATGCAAATAAAGGTATTTTTTAGGAAATCGCACGCCTGTACAAAGTACTTATCTTAACGAGTACTGTCGTCGAATTGACCGTTCTTCCATCTTTTTCTTATTTTTACACTTTGTTCGGGGATATTGTAGGCGGGGCCTGAAGGGTCTACTCAGCGCGGGGCGCTTTTCCGCTTTCTCCTCAAATCTTACGCACCTCGCGGATCGCCGAACGATCTCGGGACAATCCTTGGGTTATCCCGAACCATGACCTGGGGGCCGTATGCCGGTGGTCGAGATAGTCTTGACAAATTGCAAGGCACTTGCGCTCTCTTGAGCCATGGCGTACAACCCTAGATTTGCTCAACAGCAGCCAGGCACTTCCGATGAGCGAAGCTATGAAGGAGAGATGCCGACGACAAAAAAATACGAACAACCGGTTACTGTTTACTGATTTAAACAACAGTTTACTAATACATAAAGAAGGAGGTCTAGGCGTTGCATACATGGTCTTACCCCTCCGTCGCTACAATACATTTTTCAGCGTTATCTTGATTTAATTTTTTTCTCAACCTACTTTTTTTCGGCCTGCGTATCTCGTCGCTTTTGTACGAGGAGCCGCTCTCCCCCTCACCTCCTATCGAACTACGAACGTTTCTCCTGCACGCGGGTCCTTTTGTTATGGATAGTGCACGTTTCTGCGACTGGAGTTTCCCCACTTTGCTGCGTGTTAAGTGGTGTGACACATAGGCAACACGCGCCTACAACGAATGGGGTTTCCCCATTTTTTGACACATGCCTACCATGTGCGTGAGATCCAGCTATGCACTCGCCATTCACAACAATCGTGGTTAAAGATTTTCTTTGATCCATTTTTTAAGTCATATTATTCTGTTGTTTTTGTTTTTGATCACCTTGAATTCTTTTGGTATTTATTTGATAGTACGCGTGTCTTAAATGTCTGATTCTAACTTCGAATGCTCGAAGGATTCTAGCATGTTATATGAGTCTAACTTCACTCCGGTTCTTTATGCATGGACCGCTTAAGTATGTATACACACACACACACACAAAACAATGTAGATGCGAATACACGTGCAATTAACATGGAATCATTTGGTTAGAAAATATTTTATGTTGTAAATTGAAAATATAAATGGGTTGTTTTCGATTATTAGTGAAATGAACAAAAATAAAATATTTCCATAAACTACTATAATTATTTTATTTTATAGTGACTTGTATTTCATAAAATGATACTTTGCAAACATATATTGAACAGTTAAATTAACCCTAACTAAAAACATAAACATTGAAAACTTCTGATAAACATAAAAACGTACATAAAAAACATTGTTTAAACTTTTTGCAACTAAAAAAATATATAATTATTAAATATTCAAATGTAAACTTATCAAAACTTTCTCATTAACGAATTTTTAAAACTAAATAATTTTTATCAAAATTTCTGAATAATAATTTAGCTATATCAATTTTATTTTGTTGAAGTGTTAGTAATGTGTTACATTATTATTCACAGCTTCAATCAGATATAAACAATAGTTTTATTAAATGAGTGATTTTCTATTTTGGGCTTCATCGGTCTTTTTCTAGATAATATGCTATATCTTCAGATGTAGTCAACGAATAGAGCCGAAATTTGATTTCATGTTTTAAATCCTTAAAAAAAAGGTAAAAAAACCTTCCAGAAGTTGAAATTTTATGAAATTTTATGAAATTTTATGAAGATATAGCATATTATCTGGAAAAAGACCGATGAAGCCCAAACTAGAAGAACCATTCATTTAATAAAGCAATTGTTTTTACCTGATTGAAGCTGTGAATAATAATATAACACATCAGTAACACGCTAACAAAATAAAATTGATATAGCTACGTTAATTTTTAAAAATTTTAATAAAAATTATTCCATTAAAAATACGGTACGGCACATGTTCGGGAAAGAGTTTCTCGCTTCTCTCGGGCGTAAACGCCACACGAGACAAGAATCTATTTTCCCGCACTTGTATCGTAATGTACTATTTCCACACAATGTGTTGAGTAAAAATTTTTCAATTAATAGAGTTTAACATGTACTGGTTTCTCAAAGAAAAGAAACATATTATTCAAATAGTTATTTCAAACATATTTATAGACCTTATTTAGGAAAATAGATGATAGGTTATTATAAGAATAAAATAAACAATAATAAGTTTCTCACTATGTTTATACATGAACTACATCAAAATTAATTGCTACGCTTGACATTCGTATTAGTCATACTAACTTATTACAAATTTATTTCATAAATTACTTAACAACATTCACAGTTCAAGATGATAACAGTAGCAGTAACCGTGAAATAACTAGGTTATAGTAACAGTATGAAAAATTGTTTTTGTACATGGAATCATTTAATTTAATCATGTGAATATTGTATACGAACTGACTAAATGGAAAGTACATGCTTTGCGGCGCATTTCAAGCTTCACCAATTATTTATAACTATATTCAAATTAAGAAAGTTTTTTAATATTCTAAATATATGCCATTCTAAAAGAAAAATGTCTTAATATATTATTTTTTAAAGTGCATGCTCTTAGTTTTTCGATTTTATTATTCTACATAAAGTTTCCCATCTTAAAATTATTTGATTCTTCACAACGTATCTTCATAGAAACCGTTTTTTATAGTCACAGAAGTGCTGATAAAAATAAAAATGCCACTTTCATAGATCTGTTGTAGTGGTTTGAACATTAATGAAAAACAAACAAAATAATAGCGTTTGATTGACTTCAAATTCCAATTGAACGAGTCAAAATACGACGAGAAAACTATATCTTGGTATATTTACCAACATATGATTTTCAAAATTTCGGATCTTGTAAAACTTAGAAATCACAATTTTTGCTTAAATATGTAAATTTTAGATTATCATCAAAAAGTTTTTCTATACAGTGCTACAGTATACAACGCTCTACAAGAAATACAATTTTTAATGAAAAATAAATCAAGATATGGTTTTCAACGCATTGTGATCTGTAAAATTCAATTAATTTTTCATTTGTTTTAATTTTTGTATTTTTATTTTGTTTTTGTTTTTTTTTAATTCTAAACTATCATCGAAAAATAGATTTTTGACATGGATTTTAATTTTCCTGTAGATAAATAAGAGTGTCATAAATAAGTATTTATAGCGATGAGTATAAGTATTTTATATTATTTTATCTATAAAGAATATGCAGCCAAATATAAAATTTGGTAAAAACCGAGCCGACTTAACGCACTTTTTGTAGAAATCATTATACAAATCAATCTCATCAATAAATTTCTATTTTATCAAACATTAAAGCAAATTTACTGAAAATAAAATAAATTGAATGATATTGACCATTCATTCATTAGCTTGCAATTATTATTCAATAGTTAAGTACTTTAAGCATCTAAACAGTTATAAGAATGATAAGTATTAGTCATAGTTTTTATGATAAATATACTAATACGCAGTAAAAGAATATAACTCCTATGATGATACGTATAAGTTATGTTCTTTTGCTAAAATCACAAAAATGTTTCACATATTAATTGACTTACGGAGGATGTAGATTACAAATGATCACAATTCAACAAAAATCCTTGTATTTTTTTAATTAAAATTAGGGTTTCCATTTTTTTTTTTTGAGACTATAAATGTATGAAGTACATGATCAATATTTTATGAAATAATTGTAAAACTATACAAAACAACATTTCATTAATTTCATATATACCTATTGCTAATACGTATATCTATTGTATAGGTTTTATAATATTAATAGCTATCAACAAGAGACTGGGACAAAATAAAATATTCTAGTCATCTGTGAAGAATGCTATTCGAGGTTTCAAAATTATTTTCCGCTGATCTATAATACATATTCTTATTTTTTATCAGTAGTTAGCTATTAATCACTATTCTGGTATATTAGATGTCTTTTTTAATTATCCTTAATTTAATATTTCAGTTTGATATTTTCAAGTACAAAACGGTACAGACATTTTTATCCATATTAATTTTTTTTAATGAATAAAATATCTTGAAATAACATGGAATACCGTAATTTATACTTTTTTCTATAACAAAATGATTTTTGGTTTAAAAATAAGTTTTTTTCTGGAATTATAGAAGCGCGTGTAGAATATTATAAAATAAAGTTAGCTAACATTAAAAAATTATAAAAAGGAATTCGTTAAAAGCAATAATAATGAGTAAATGACAAGAAAATGACACAACCAGCAGACAAATATCTGTTTAGAAGATTCTTTCGAGTTAATTTCTCTTCGTTAATTAGTACCTGATTTTTCAAAAATTTTTGACAATTAAATTTTTTATTTATAGAATGTGAAACTGAAAACATTATCAAAATAAGAAATTATTTTTTACAAGTTATATAAAATGTTTAGAAACTTGACATTTATTTTAGCTTCATTTATACTCTGTACTATTATAAAAAAAATATACTGTAAGAGAAGCTCAATTATAATTATTAAAAAAAAATATCTTACAGTACCTTTATTTACTCATCTTCATACATACTATAATCATATCAGATTATATTAGTTCGTCTGTAAAAATTGATAAGTCAATAAATTGTACTTTTCTTTAATTAAAGTTTAATTTGAATTTTCCAGTTGTTATCGATGATATTTAATTAAATTTTTTTACATTGTAAGCACATTGAAAGCACAAGAATATCTACTTGATTATAATTTTGAATAGAACTCTACGAAATAAAAATGTTTATTCAAACAAAAAGTCATTAAATTAGAATAATATAAAAAATACTTTATTTTTATCAATCAAATAATTGCATTCGTAATATTTTGCACATGTAGTAACCGATAGAATTGCTAGATGTCCAGTTATATACTTCACATACCTCGTGAAATAAAGCTTAAGACGTTATGTTAACTTGAAGCATGATTGCTGTAATAAAGTAGAAATCGTGGTATATTAAAGTATGTTATTATAATATGAAATAATGAATTATAAGTTAAAATGTATGCATAATAAATGTTATGATTGCACCAACACTGTCGAAAGAAATTTAGAAGGTATTTCCAAATTAGTTCAAACAATATTAACAATCGTAGATCATGTACTGAAAATATCATTTCCGAAATTGCAACCAATTACCATATTCGTATTAATTATCAAGGTTTTCGCTTTTCTAGCCTAATAGAATACATGTAATATTTTGGATTCGTTTATGAATCTTAACGCTTTGCACATTTTACATTTATTTATTTCAATTACATATGGAGCTTTTAAATCTTCATTCGTTTATATATTCATCATGCTATCAAAACATAAAGTTATTTAAATACAACTATGTAGCGTGCGGACAATTATGTATGGTTTTATTATACACATAAATGATTGTGCACAAAAACATGACATGAATCAATGTGTAACAATTTTTACGTTATGATACTGTGAACAATAATTTGTATGTATAATGAAACCGCGTACAATTGTCCGCACGCCAAATAATTTACAGAGGTTAGTTTTTTCAAATAAAATTATTATTTACTATTCAATTTTGTTCTACTTTATTTTGCATCATTTGTAATTTCAATGCGCAAAGAAATTGTGTCTAGTAAGTGTTATGATTTTCAGTAGCTCCATTGAAATGTGGTGATACATACATATATACATTATACATACATACATACATACATACACACATACAAACATATATTTATATAGAATAGGTGTTTGTATACATGTGTCTGTGTGTGTTAAAAAGTATTATAAAATTTTATATTGTATGGTTTAATCAACAACTTCAGAATTGACACTTAGCTTTGGATATACGAACTTTTAGCTTATACATCTTTCACAACTGCAAAGAAAATTAATCGTGTACATCACTTGTGAAATGTTGAATATGTATAAAAAGTTACATTAGCAATGTAGATCTTTCTGTAGATGTATTAATAGAATGCCTATTTAGCTTCACACAACCATATTTCAGTACTTTTTTAACCTTCACAGTTAGGAAATTATATGTAAAAAAGATGCATTGACTAAATGTAATGTTTTGAAACATAAGATTCACGATCAATGAAGTAATTTTAGAGTGTCAGTCTTTTCAAATGTAACAGCTTAGGAGTTAGAAAATAGAAATTTGTACGGATACGTTTTACGAGAAAGCAGTCATTTATAAAAATAAGTATGATTTATTGTCTTTGTGACTCCGTTCTTAATATTACATTCATCCAATTATTAAGACTATTGTAATTACGAAGGCTTGACTCTGATGATATGTAATATATATAATAAAAATAAATTTTGTTAGTGAATTAATCGTGCAAGTAAAAATCTAAATTGATTCACGAAAAAATATAATAGAGAGTACTAATTATTTTGAATTACAGCGCTATTTTTATCATATGTAACATTTCTTTTATAAATAAGCAAACTCACTTCTTTAACTCTAAAATAATATTTTACATAACGACTTTGATAGAACTAGAATATAACAGTAAGCAATTTTTTGAAGGCATGAATAAATGCTATTTATTATTATTTTAAACAGGTTAATTTATTAAAATTAATTAAAAAATGTAAATAAAGCCGATTAATTCATATTATAATTTTTTGAATTAATAATAATTATATAGTTATAATAACTAAAATTATATTTCAATTAGTATTATCACGTATTTACATAACAATAGCAAAGCAACAAAAATAATATGACATTATAGATTTATGCACAATTATGCATATATCTGCACTTTTTTATTCATTTATCATTAATTATGCATGTATTGTTTTTTCGCTTGTTATAGTAAATGGCTTACGGACAATTGTGCACGGTTTTATTATACACAGAAATTATTGTACACTGTAACATAGTGTAAGAATTGATACATGCTGATTTTCACCATGTTATTGTGTAAAATAGTTTATGTGTACAATGAAAAAGTGTACAATTGTCCGCATGCCTAGTAAACCACCGGAGTCTTACCTCAATAGATTAACAATGAGTTTTAATTTATATATGGTCTTATTCCATAATGATACTTTTGTGTAAATGTAATAGTAAATATAAAGAATGATTTATGTAAATTAATTAGATTTTAAATGAACAAATTGAAAAGAATACACATTAGATTCTTTATTGGATTTTGTCGATTTTAAACATAATAATAAATTTGGTATCTAGTAACTACCCAAATAAAATATAAAAAACAATTATCTTTCTATTGTGTTGATAGTATTATAATAGAAATTAATATAGCTTTTGGAAATGTGTGTAAACACAACTATCGTATCCATATCTATGGAAATGGACACGATTAATTAACCTTTTTAGAGAATTTTTATATCATATTCATGCCATAATAGATAACCTTCATATGTTACTTTGTATTATACAAAAAGTCAATCTTTCTCTTAACTATCTTAATAAGATACATAATTTTGGCATGTTATTTATTATATAACTACTTATATTTCCCTAAAAATAGTTCTCACTATATTACTTTTAAATATTTTGACAGTTTCTTTCATCGAACATTTACATGTTTCTTATATACGTATGGTTATATTCTCACTGAGCATGTAAGTATTTTATTACTTTGAGAATTAGAAGATGAATAAATGATTTAGCTTTAATATTGCCGATAGGATAAAGTAGACTACAAAAAATAATATTATTATAAGATTACCAAAAACATAGCTGTTGTATAACTTTTTTTAATTCATAGAATAATTCAAGTTGTTGATTATATCAACATAATAAAAATACAATGCATCTATAGCGTCATTATGCAAAATACTTTCTTCTTGTCGAAAATCATTTGCAGGTTCTAGTTTAAATCTACATGACATTGAATGTCCATATGTTAATTATATTATCGTCGAGTATTGATCTTTATATTCATTCAACTATTAGTTGTCGCTGTTAAACATGAAATCTTTTTTTGTTTTTCACGTTTTATAATTATATTATATTTTACAACTGCAATGAAAAATTACATGGTAACAGTTTATGTTTATGTTTAATCTTTCAGTTGTAAAGACATGTAAATATTGGCGCGTTTTTCAATAAATAATTTAACTGCTTATTCTATTACATTTATGAGTTATAAAGCTACGTTATTATCCAAGCTACGATTTCCAAACTATCCTATCTATATTTCTTTCGCTGTTATCTTTCGATTCATCTAATGCCACAAAAATAAGGCCTTTTCCCTTCTTCGATTAAACAACCTTAATAATGATACTGTATAAATGTATCATTATAAACAAAAATAATTAGAAGACTATACCAAATGTCCGTTTTTACTTATAATATTGATGATATGTGAAAAAAATTTCTTATATTTTAGAATATATTAATATAAACGTCAAAAAATTGAATTATATTTTTGAAATAAAAAATGTTATAATAGAATTAAGAGTAAGTCATACAAAACAGAAAAATGAATAAGTCTAGCCGAAAAGTTACTTATACATTAGTATCAATAATAAATAAGAATTATAATCCGTAGTTCTTCGTCCTAGATTTTATGTAGATTCTGCTCATAATCACGAAGGAATTATAATGTAGCCTCCACTTTCAGAGTGGCTCTACATAGTTCTTGAAACATCGCTGTCATCAAAAGTCTTCAACAAGCAATATGTTGAAAGTTTTGACAAACAAGAATAGTATTCGGGCTCATATCAAACAGAGGTTGACATTCATCGCTACAGCGACTTTTTGGATGATACCTTCATCTGCAATTATGAGAATAAATATACCGTCTATATAATGTAATCAAGGACAGAAATTTTTATAAATATTGTTGGTGCGTTTTATCTGAGTTTTTCATAAGAAAGATATATCTCATATCGCCATCTATCTCATAACATCGAACTTAAGCTCACTACATCTATTGTGGCAATATATTAGTAACACTAACTGATGATGATGTCAATAATTGACATCATTTTGCACCGCGAAATCAACTTTGCAATAATCCTAAAAAATATTTATCACTAAATTAAACAGTATCGTGTCTAATCATATGCGATCTAATCAAGTTTTATGAATGGTTCATATATTTAAGTTGTAATTTATTTGATTTAAAAAGCATCGACTCAAGAAAATCGGGATCTCATAGACTTAGCTCAGCCAAGCTTTGATTCGAACCTTGAGATCTTTGATCTTTTGCAGAAATTTACGTGCCGTTTACTATTTTGAATTAAGCTTCTATTAAAAAAAATTAATTGAAAGAGACATAATTTTATAGCTTAAGTGGTGCTATTTTCAATGGTTTCATCAAAATTTATAAAAAAGTTATTATGAAAAAAATAAAATTTGAAAACACATTCACCAATTTTTTAAACATTTTTGAAAAATAATTTTTCCGAATAGTTTCTGGCCAGGAATGAAGATAAAATCCGATTAACAAGTGGCACAAATATCTAAATTATAAGGATACATGATTCGTTGATCGATTTTTCGCTTCAGTGCTTTCACAATGACGTTAGAATTGCAAAATTTGGCATGCAGACAATTGTTCATCGTTTTATTGTACACGTAATCTATTGGACAGAATAATATGGTGTGAATCAGCGTGTATCAATTCGTACGCTATATTACTGTGCACAATAATTTGTGTGCATAATAAAACTATGCACAATTATCTGTACGCCCAAAATTTTTCCTAAAATATTCATGAATTTTTATCTCGAAAGCTACAGATTTATGAAAAAAGTGGTAAAGAAAAAAATTTTTGAATTACTTAAAAAACACATCGAAATTTTTTCAATATATTTTGAGCAACTTTTTTAATTTTGAAAATAAACAATTTTTGGAAATTCAAAAAATTTCGTCTTAGAGAATTTTTTTTCTGAATCATTTTATTCAATAAAGAAACGATTATCTGACCGAATCTGAAATTAAAAATATGAACTCATATTTTAATATTTTAATGTTCAATTATTAATGTTCAATTATATAATAAATTAATGTTTCAATTCAAATTAATGTACAATTATAAATAAACTATTGTCAAATGGTTCATCATACTGAAATTGTATTCTTTAGGCATAAATCAAAATTTGCACCACGGCGTATCATAAAAATTGTTATAAGTGCGGCTATTCGAATTAAATTTTATAAAATTGCTCTACATTTTTTCAATAAGTTCTCATGCGAAAAAAAATTACTTGTGGTTTCATAACTATTAGTGATTCGGGTAGCGCTATGTGGTACACCTACATGATACGATAGTAAAATATCTTACCTTTTAGTTAAGCAACTCAAGCTGACTGGCAATTGATCAGATGATGGAATGTGACCAGCTACGCATTCTGATAGATTATACCATTGAGCAACGGGTTTTCGTGGATTATCTAACATTTCTAACCAATGATCTCTTCCGATTCCAATGAAACTTGCTCCAATTGCTGTGCAACCCATCAATTCATTAGATCCAATCCTGTAATAAATATAATACATTTCAAAAAATATATTAGTAGATACTTTTGATAGCAACAGATACTTTTTATTTATCAAAAGTGATACGTAATATTTAGAAATTTGCAAGGATTTGAGTTTTCAAACTCTCAAGTAGGTTCGAGATTTCATCTTCATAGCTATTTTCACCTACTAGCTTATACATTTTGACTATTGGTGCTTAATATTATTGTATCGCTCGTTTTCAAGTTGAACACTTTGATTGATCCTTTGCGATATGAAACCGCAATGTAAATTTATAATACATTGCGATACATGTTCGGAAAAGAGATTCTTGTATTTAGTGACTTTCCAACCTCGCTTCGCTCAGGCGTAAATGCTAGACAAGAATCTACTTTTCCGTATTTGTATCGTAATTTACTATGATTTTTTTTACAAGGTTAATGCTTTATTTATCTCAATGTATGAAAAGACAGAGGAAAACCCAACTAAGAAGAAATATAAAATACCAAAAGAATGCAGCCTTGTTAAGAAGGCTGAGATGACACTATAAGAGGAAGTTACTCGGCAAACGAGACCAATAAAAAAGGAGATAAGTAGGTTGAACGACGACATAGAGAGAAAGATTCTTGTGCAGGAATACTTTCGAACCCATATAAACATTGCAAGTAAAGTGAGCATGGTAACTACAAGCTTCGTAAAAATGTAAGTAGAAAATGTTAATGGCATAATATCTATTTGTACATATGCGCATGTGTTTATGGTATTTCTCTATATTGGATTAAACTTCACTTAATCGTAGAAGATTAAGTTTTCAATTGTAGTATTACCTATCGTAATCAATGACTTTGATAATGAGACTGACGTCTTCTATATTTTCTGCTGGGACATCAAAAACAAGTGCTTCATTGTAAATGGGATTAAGACAACCTTTCTTTACACTAGTTTTTTTCTTCTTTATTCGTTTACCTTGACATAATAAGTAAACTTTAACGTATGGATCTGAAATAATAAGAAAACAGAAATTCTTAATGCTTAAATATAATTAGATAGTTTATATTTTAATTGAAATTTATGGAGTTTACCCGACGAGCCGGTAATATCCATTTTTTTCAAATTTCGAGCTTTAATTACGGTGAGAGTAAGGCGCCCAGCCGTAGGTAGATAACAAAGAGACATCATCAGCTCACCAAGATCGACTTTATCCTAGACCATAAATTTGTTTATGAAACTTAATTTCTATTTTGTCCAATCAAAAAATTATAATTATGTACCTGTATGGTACACATTATATCCATAGTGTACTCGATTTCATGTTCAAAATCTGTACAATCTGCTAGATCTCTCAATACTACTTGTCCTATTAAATCATGACGTGAAAATCGATCAAAATCGTAAACGGAGAATTGCAAATATCTTTCATGCAATTCTTCGTAAGGAACGCTGTAATGGCACATGATAGTTATTATTGTGTACATTTAAATTCTGTAATATTATTTATTTACCTAAAAATAAATGTTTCATTGAAGATGGGATTCAAATTTTTCCGATGAACTTTAGTTTGATGTTTCTTTTTTCTGTCAGGTAAAAGGTATATTTTTACGTATGGATCACTGCTTCCTGATACATCTTTGATTGGCAAATCTCGAGCCTCCAAGACCTTCATAAAATAATTTTTTCGGAATTAATTTTAATTGGCGTAGATAGTTTTAATAATATTGAAGTTCGTAAAAATATCCATGTTATTTATATTAAATGTTTTTGTAATGGTACGTTCTGGTGCGAATAAATTTCGTGCACCAACTAAAATTGCAAGTAGAATTATGACATGTAACTATCTTTTTTATTTTACATTTAACCAAATCTTTTAGTCGTATGACTTTTAATAATAAAATATTACAAGTGTAAAACCTTCTCTTTTACCGCTAACTTAACAGAAAAAAATTAATTACCATCTCTACTAGGCGAGATAAAGCTAAGTTTTGTTTATAAATGAAATATGAAATTATTTTCTATTTATTAAAATTACTAAATCATTAGTTTACCTTTACTACAAGACCTTCGATCTCTTTATCATATCGCAAGGCAAAGTGAAGTTTTCCTGCGCTTTCCATTTCACCAGTGCTTGAACTTTCGTTGCTTTCTTGGCGTGTCAAATCTTTTTTATATAGTTCCGGCTACAAGATTAAAAATGGCATTAATAATAAATAAGGAAGCACTCTTTTATGATTAAATGATTCATGCAAACATTATAAGTTCATGTTATGCAGTGATAAATCAGGAGGAGAAGAAGGATGAATAAATATTTATTATAGACTATGATACTCAAAAAATGATTACAATTATATATTTGATGTTTTTAGGATTGACTGCATATTGAACTGATTTTGAAATTAAGCATTGCTTATTCATTCCATAGTCATAGTCAGTCACTAGAAAATGTGAAAGTCACTTTAATCAAATGAGATCTGAATCTATCTTACGGTTTTCATCAATACTTTTAATCGTTTAGTTTAGAAATATAAATATGTTTGAAAATTACTTTGATAAGGCCGAGACGTGAGTTACTGCGATTTTCGAGACTGCAAATGCTAAATTTGATGTTGGGTAAATCTAATCGATGAGACAGTTGACGTTGAAAATTTTGATGCCTCATCGGGACAATTGGTAATGTTGTTTGTCGTAAGACCTAGAAAAAAAATTTGAGTATAATATTTACACTTCTATTATTATTTTTAAAACAACCATGAATAAATATGCTTATGTCTGTAATTGTATGTTATTGACGATGAATGAATATTTATTTAGTATTTTCATCTCCCTATGAAAAAGTTCTTAAAAATAATATTTTAAATTTCAATATTTTGAAGTGTCAGAAAGATTATTTTTTGAATTCCAAACTCATTGAGAGCAACTATAATCTGTTGGAAAAACTAATACATCATTTTATAAAGCGTTAATTAGAACTTAAAAGAATTTTAAGGCTGTAATATTTGTATGTATCAGAGTAGATATTCAAGTTCAGTTTGTATAATTTCAATCTCGGAATGGATGATAATGGAAAAATGTGTAAAAAATAATTAATCAAGCAAAAACCTGTACTTTTTTGGTGTCCTTTTGTTCTTGCACGTATTCATGAGTGATAGGTTCAGATTGTAGATCGGGTAATGAATGGCTAATACGTATAGCATTTTGTTGTGAAAGGTCGCCCTCGACGTCATCGTGACCGTCCTGGCGAGCAACTCCTATAAGCCACTTCCAAGTCGAAGAGCACTGGAAGCTTACGGCTGCAAGTAGTACTAGGGCCATAAGCGCTACTCCTGTACCAATCACAATTTGATAAGGAAAGTTATCTGACCACTCGTCAGCTGTAATGCAAAACAAAACAAATTACATATATATTTACAGGTACAATTTAAAGGCGATTTTTAATTATATCCACGCATAATACAAATATTAAAAAATGTGAGAAAAGTATTCAAATCTGTTAATATTAGAATAAAAAAATATTTCAAAGAATCGCCAGACCCTGATTCCAATGTTACTCGAAAATTTCAGTATACAGAAAAGAATTATTCCACGGCTATAAATTTGTTTTCATAAACCGATAGATTTTTTGGATAGACAAAAAGAATTTTTTTACTTAATTAACGAAATCAACGTAACATAAGGAACCGACTCATTTTTGTCTTTGTTACTCTAGTATCTCTTAGCAAAAATTGCTCGATAAGTTTATTCAATGTATTATTATATAAAAAATTTGATCAATAGCTTTGAAAATAAGGTTAAGCAAAGCTAATATAAGTAGAGGATTACTTCATCGCAAGCCTCGTCTTGAAATTATATTTATCCTAACCGGAAAAAGCGTCAACATTAAAAGATATAAGATAAAAGTATAAATGGTATTCTTCTAAAAATTGGGGCTTGAGCAAAATGGAAGAGAATAGAAGCATATACTCGATATAGTGTGAGACGGGGAGAGGAAGAATGAGAAGTATAGCTATCGATGAAATAAGCTTATACAAACGTATCCTATACGTGTTGCCTTAGTCCCACCGGGTCTTCAAAATTTGAAACCTTTTGCAAACGTGTATTGCGAGGAATGTACATATATATTGATAACCTTGTCATGTCCAAGCTCTTTTTATCGGGTTTCAAAGCTTTGTACGTTAGGAACCTCAACGAAATTGATATGGGCGGAGACCTTTTTTATGATCTTTTTTTAAATGACATTACACGGATTATTAATATTTCTCATTTGATTATTGTATTAATATACTTTTTGGAAAAAACGTACGCAATAAGTTAATGAAATTTCATTTATATTCTACTTCCTAAGTCTTTGACGATACACATACGTCTGTGTGTATGTGTGTGCGTGCTTGTCTGTTCCTGAGGTATAAGAGTTTTCTAGCAATCTAAACCCATACCATAGCGAACACACCACGTCGAATTCGCCCGGGATCTGCCGGTGGAGTGTGGAAAATCTATAGCCGTCAGACCAATTGAGATAAATGTTTAGGGAAAGTCTCTCTCTCTCTCTCTACGTGGTCGATATATTCCAATGTTCAGTACTTTTCTTTGATAAATACTATACACTCCTCATCTTTTGCTCACGTTTTTATGTATAAAAATATCGCTAGCCCTATAAATGCCGTTTAACTTACTGATCAGCACCAAATTATTGATTAAATTTTTATTAATATTAAATTAGGATAAATTTTGAATAAAGTTGCTTTATATTGATTGCAAAAATTTGTACAGTAAAAATAGAACTTTGTCCACTGAACTCACAACAATAGAATGTGTAAGCTTGAAAAAGTACGTCTATCAAATAAACAGTAGTTACGTGGCTTGTAAGACAAGTAGGCATGAGTCTACTTAGTTGAAAAGAATACCACACAGGTTTCTATTGTGTTTACTACAAATTGGTTCATACGCGGTTGTTCGCCCTTGTAAATTATTTTCTAAGCTACTAATAGTATTATAGGGTAGACAAGAAAATTTCAGTTCAGTTATACAGATTTCTAATTTTTTTTTAATCTGTGCAATAAGTTGTTGCTGTTTCATACATTCTTACTTTTTCAGTTATATCCCACAAAACACATTCATAAACATAAAATACATAAAATATTGTCAGTTAGAAAAAAAATGTCGATACTAATTTATTTTTTATCTTATTTTAAATTTAATTCAATTTCAATTTACAAAACACATCTCTAATACTCGCCGGAATATTGCAAAGGTAATCGAATAAGAACCTTTCCTTCAAAGTTTTTATTTTGATGTAACATGTAATGTATTAATATTTTATTTTCATGTGCTAAGGAAAACTGTTGATACATTGAGCAATATTCTGTATATAAGTAAATTACTAAGTTCATTTTATTAGATATTTGAATCAGTTGTTTTATCGCTTATTATAAAGACAAAAAATTAAATATATATTACGAATAATGTATAATGGTTGAATTAACTTCTTGTGAGAAATTTATTAATTGATAAAGTATTTATTAATTCATAATTACAGTTAATAGACTTGATAAAGTGTTGTGGACGCGACACGCAGGCGAATAAGCCTTCGAGAAGCATCCGACACTATATATAGTAAAATAACTATCTATGCTCTCGTGAAAACTTATATTTATTTTCACTTCCGTGTATTAATTATTGATGACCTTATTCGTGATTTTGAAAGACTATGATACCATTATTATTCTAAAAAAATGAAGTCGATTGATATATTTTTGAGGAAGTTATTTGAGACTAAGGTTTCTGAGATATTATTTGTCTGTTTTTTTATGTTAGATTTATGACGTATGAAATTTCTACGCCTACTTTGAGTTAACGTGATATATAAAGTAAATTTGAAAATACAGTAACTATACATAATGTAAACCATTAATGAAAGAAGTATATGACTTGCAGCTTTTACCTTTGTGAAGAAAGATTATTTTTCAAATATTAAAGTGAGTCGTTTACTCTCTTTATTAATTTAACTAATATTTTATAATATAGTGAAGCATAGTGGTTGAGCACAATCGTAATCAAAGGAGGCTTTTCTATTGATTTCTACCAATTAATAAGCTTAGTTTTGGCAATGTTACTAGATGTCAATAGATTTTGTATGAAATATAAATGCCATTCCTACAGTTATTAATGTAAATTTTCTACTAAAAAGTATATAATATTAAAGAAAAGATTTATTTCCTGCTTTTTGGTAATAAATATTTGTTACTGAAATTATATTTAATTTCTGGAACATTGAGCGATGTGTAATCAATAAATAACATTGTTTTTTTTATGGAAAGCATTTGTTTTCTTCTAAAAGATAATTAAAATTCGATGAGCAGCTTCTGCTCCCTTGTGTGTAGTTACAGTGTAGGTGGTAACCCTTGTAGGCAATATCCGTAAGCCACTAATCTTCTGTCTACGTATATAAATCAATGAAAAGACAGCTGAAGGTATTGAATGATTTTTACTTCAACGTAATGTTAACTTCCATCATTCAAGACATCATTTTTATAGAAAATTATGGTTTTTTGACTTCTTAATTTTTATTCATATCTGAAGTTACAGTTGTGAAATGTTCTATAAGATACTCATATTAATTTTATTTATTATTCGAGAGACGTGAAGTATTTTGGAAAATTGACATTTATTTTATCTATTCATTTTTTTAGTTCTCTAATATTATATTGTCATAATTAATTTCTTAAATGCCAATTAATTATTAAAATATCAAATAGTATGAGACATTAAAAATCATTATTTAATATATTTTATATCGTTTATACTAGTTTTTAAAAACTGAATTAATTTTATTACAGGGTCTAACGACTCATTCTTGTTTTCTAATTTGATTTTACTTATTTTAGTGTATCTTCTAAGCACTTAAATAAACCTAGTTCAAATTTAAATACTAGAAATAAAAAGTATATATTAAACAGTTTAAAAAATTTATTTTATTTCATAATTTTACATTTTAAATGTGATAAGACCTTTAGTATTGTAATTCATTATTGCGTAAAAAGGACACGAAAATTTGAATTTTATTATACTTTGGAAAATTTGTATTGTACATACAAAACTAAGAGATAAGGAATAACTATCGCCTTCTAATTTATATTGCAAGAAAAAGAAAGAAAGTAAAACAAATTACAGGAAAAAGTATTTTTAATTTTTGAACATATTATTTTTAAAAATGTATGCAATACAAACTTATTAGAATATCGAATTCAAACCCTTAAAATTGCAGTATTCCCATAAATATTGTATATTGAAGAAAAAAATAGATATCATCAAAATATATATTACTAAAATAACATTCTTCAATAGGGCCATTAAGTAAATTGCTAATAGGAATTAAAGTTTAGTGTACTGCATCAAGCGTGGAATTACTAAAATTTTTAGATAATTTTCCGATATATATTTTGAAATCATTAAAAGTTGAGTATTATCAAATAATGAATGCCAATTCTATTTTTATTCATTCAAGTCATATCGATGGTGCTTGGTTTTTGTAGATTGCTTGGTTTATTCATACATTTATAGTATTGGGATCTTAAAGTTGAGATGCAAATACCATAAAAACAAAAAAATAAAAGCTTGTAACATAAAGCTGGCAAGATAAAAGGAAGAATAAATTTCGAATTTCTATATTTGAAGAATTGTTGTCGAAAAATAACAGTGAACAAAAGAAAAATTACAAAATAAAGGAAAATCATAACTGTAAGGACTAGGTTAAGTATCTATCGAGTACGTTTAAGCAGTATTGTAGAAGCAGTATCAGAACGATATGAAACGTATTAAATAAATGAAATTGAATAGTAAATAGTGAGAAGGATAAAAGAATGTCGAAGTTGGAATCCAGTGAGCTCAAGGTCTATACTGACGTTTCTGACGTCAGCTGCATTGGAAAGGATATCGCGAAAAGCAAGGAACTTGTCCGCGTAGTACCCTGGCGCGTCTTTATAAATCACATTGACAGCTATCACGCTGGCCAATTAGCAGATGTGAGTTTTTCTACAAACATCAATAGTTTATCCGTGGCCACAGCTGCCTTGTAATAATAGACGTAATGTTTATTTTCCTTTTCGTTGATATATCTTATTTGTATTTGTTTTAATGTTTCAGAAATCAATATTCCCCAAAAATTTTTTTCTATTCAAAATTTTTTAAAGTATTCTACCGTTTGTGAAAAAGATAGAATTCTAACATTTGCAAACGTTAATATTATTTCAATATGCAACTTCATAAGTTATGTACTTTTAATGCGAAAGATATGAAAAACTGAAAAATATGAATAAAGCTAACAATTTAGTTAACGTCAAGCATTTAAAATTTCGTGACTATGTCAACATGATTT